GCGAATCGTCCGGTCTGGTGCACAACCAAGAGAATGAACAGAGCTGCAACGAATGGTCATATAAAAGTGGTAAAATGGCTCCATGCATATTGCCCCGAGAGTGTACGATGGCGGCTATGAATGAAGCTGCGCCAAATGGCCACTTGGACGCACTAAAACGGCTGCAAAGAAATCGACGAGAGGGATGCACATTGGCTGCCATGAACGGGGCAGCAACTCGTGGTCACTCGGAGGTGATGCAGTGGATTCATGCAAGCAAGCTTATTGCAAACATGGTGGTTGCGATTGATGGAGCTGCATCTTGCGGACATGTTGCCGTTGTAAGATGGCTACAAGACAATGGGTCTGCTGCTGCCAGTACTCTAATTGGAATCGATAGAGCTGCATCCTTAGGCGACGTAGAATTTGTCCGTTGGCTCCATGCAAACACCACCAGTAGATGTACTACCCAAGCGATGGATTCCGCCGCTCTCCATGTTCATTTGAAAATGCTCGAGTGACTATTTACCAGCCGATCTGAGGTATGTATGGTAAAAGCGATCGAAAGAGCGTTAAAATTTGGCAATGTATACGCTGCCAGCTATTCCTGCCAATGAGACAGACCTCTGTTAAGTTTAGAAAAGATTTCGCTGGAGGAACTACTATTTCGTCTTGTGCATTACGGGGATATTTTCGCGGCAGCATCCTTTAGGATCTCAAGTACGAACGTGATTCCGGTTTAGCGAGTTGGAATTGGGAAACATATCGCGGGGTGGAAGAGCTGTAGGATGTGAGGCCGATTTACTCTATGTGTTTCAGCGAGATGACAGCAGATGTTGAAGTATTTCATAGTGGTAATTAGCCTAACTCCGTCAAGCGGCGAATAAATAGTTAGTAATCATTAGTGGCCTTAGCGTCAATGCCAATCTAAAAATATATTAGAAGTATATATACTGCTATTTCCTAGGCTGTTGTAAATATTTCCTAGACTGTTTATAGATCTGTCGTTTTTTCTACCTTTAACCCCTTGGTTCCCAACGTCGTAACTCACGACATAACGAAATTGCTATGTCGTAAGTTACGACAAAATGAGACTTACATTAGGAAATGGCTCAAGCAATACTTTAACCAAGTCATTTGAATATAATAAGGTTCAAGAGGTAACTGGGGTAAATCCAGAAATAAGACAGGGAAAGGGGTGCAGAAAATCAGCTCCCACTGGATATTTTCCCGCGCCCAGCCACGGGACCTGTAGGACCACTCATTCCAGAATTTGCCGGACGGTGCGCATCCGGTCCAGCAAACGCGGAAAGACCGCCGCCGTTGCCGCCGTTGCCACCGTCGCTCGAGATATCGACTTTCGCCATTTCTGGAGGCAGCTGAAAGCGTTAGGCTGGACATCAAAAAGACCAAGCGGCCTCGCGAGAGAGTGGAGCTACACAAGTCCCGATGGAGCCAACGTGCTCATTGGCGAGAGCGCGCTAGTCGCACACGCTCTGAAGTCGGGATTGCTGGTCGAGAGTGAGAACGTAGACGACGTAGACAAGGGCGTTGTGGATGAGAGTTCGGCGAGTGAGGAGGTGGGAGATGTGGAGGTGGCGGAAGCATACGAAAAGACGGTAAGCGAATCTAGTGCTGCACTCACGTTTCCAGTACCAGCTACACAAGCCTCGATGGACGAGGCCATTCGAGTGTCGCAGATTGACACAAGCGCTCAGCTTTCTCAAGAAACGCCGAACGCGTTGTTCGGCTCGTCGAGCGAGTCGGACGATGAGCTCGATTCGTCAGTGGTGACAAGGGCATTCGTCACGCAGCTTAGCGACCATCGCGCTGATGGAACACATCGAGATGCGGCTGCAAGCTTGCATATGCTGTCGGAGGCGTCTGGGGTAGAGAGCGAGACAGAGCAAGATATTTTGCCAGCTACTGCAGACCGCGTCTTGCGGCTACGCGCTCATGTGAAGAAGGACATCAACTTCGTACCGGAGGACGAGAAGATGAGCTCCTACGAGAGTTTCAGCTCCGGTGAGAGCGACGGAGGAGCACTTGATGAAGACAAGATAGCAGAGCCTGCAGATCGCGGTGAACGAGATGCAGATGATGACGTCTTGTCTGAAGATAATGCTGTGTATATGGACGAAGCTTTCGTGGCTTCGCTCCAGATTGGTGGAAATGCGCTTGACAAGCGTGCTATAAAGCAGCGCGAGGAGCGATTACGTGATTAGAGTGGACGCCTGTGTCATCGGTGTTTGAAGAAGGCGTGGCCGCGTACGCGGGGCTCAGTTATGAAGACGCTCATCCAATTCGCGAGCTATGTGACCTCAGTCACTCCCCTATTCAAACCTTTTCTACTTCATACCCAAGTCACTGTGGGTCAATATTAACGTGGAGACTAATAGGTACGGCCTTCAGCAAGTTGACAGACGTGCTCAGGCTATTCAAGCCAAGTAAGTGGGAAGTCGTCACGAGACAGTGAAGCAAATACGACGTCGTTTGAAGTCAAAGTCTGGCTACCAAACACACGAGATTCTGCACGTTATTGGGCTTCTTGTGGCACGGATGTTGTGTCCACAGAAGCGCCGCTTTGCAGCGCATTGGGCTATGGTCAAGGACGGTGCGGTTCCAGCAGGCACCTTTAGTCGTTTCATAGGTCGCAATCGATGGCAAGACATCATGCGCGACCTACACTTTGTTGACAACGAGGCCGAGCGAGCACGTGACAAGCTATGGAAGCTCAGGCCTGTTGCCGACAAGATACAGCAACGATTTCTTACGGGATGGTCTCTCCCAGCCGGTTTTTCGTTTGATGAAGGTGTTCTGCCTTCCACTTCAAATCGGAACACAACCCGCATGTTTATGCCGGACAAGCCTCACCGCTACGGGTCCAAGATATTCATGGTCTGCGACTCAAGAACTGCTTATTGCCACAGGTACATTCATTTTCTTTTTATCTATGTCATAACTTATGACGTGTTTTGCTAAATATAACTGTTTATGTCGTAACCTTTTAGATTCGAAGTTTACGCTGCAAAACGCGATGCCAGTGACGGCGCTGACAGCTCAGTTGATCATAAGACCGGTGCTGCAGCGGTCATTTAAAATCTGAAGATTGTGCTTGGAGCGAAGTCGCGACACGCGTGGCATGCAGTAGTTGTCGACCGGTTACTCGTCCGTCTTACTTGCCATCGAGCTTCTCGGCATGAGCTTTTACGTAATTGGCACTGTCATGATCAACCGGTTGGGTTTGGATAAGAACATCGTTAAGAAGCGACAGTCGCGGCCAGCTAGGATAACTCGTGGGTCCTTTACCTTCTCTCGGTCCGTTGCGGTACCTAGCATGATCGCGTTTCACTGGTGGGAACGCAAGCCTGTGCACTACTTGTGCACAGGCTCTGTAATGACACCTTCGACAATCAACCGGAAAGTGAAGCAGGTGGGGCCTATCACAGTACCATGTCCGGCCGCTGTAACCGACTACCAGCGCTGGATGGGCGGAGCTGATGTGCACGATCAGCTCCGCCTTTAAAATTACTCTCTACAACTGTCAACCAAGTTCAAAAAATACTACAAAAGCTTATTCTTAGGCTTTATCGATTTAGTATTGCTGAACTCTTATATTTCGCACAAGGAAGCTGCAACAATGAAGGGAACACCGATGATGACGCGAGGAGAGTGGTTTGGCGTCTTCCAGAACCAGCTCCTTCAGCTAAAAGCTGGAGACTTCGCCGGTGTGGCTGTAACGCCACCACCCACTGGTCAGACTCGCAGGCGTGCACCTGTCACTATCACGCACACGGTTCAGCAGTCTATGGACTGGGTAATTATCAGCAATGTTCAGAAGCGTCGTCAAAGGTCTTGCAAGGTCTGCGCTCTTTTACGAATGGACAGAAAGAAGAAGTCGTTTGCGACGACCTTCTTGTGCGAGCGCTGCTCCGTCGACGAAGCAAAATGCTGGCTGTGTAACAAGATCCGGCGGAACTGCAAAGACATGCTTCGAGAACGACGGCTTCGACTGCGGTCAAGCCATTCCACGTACCTTAGGGAAGAAGGTCGTCTTGCGACGTCCAGGTCGGGAAGCTGGAGCACGAGAGAGAACGCGCCGGGAGCTACACCTTCGTGATGCTGCTGAAGACGTCGATTATGAGAATGAGAGCGAGCCGGAGTGATCCTGTCTGCAGACTTGCTGATAAGAGTTAGTATATGTCAAATCGTAATGCTTACTTCTTTGAATTGATGTACCTTTTGATTCACCTTTTACTATCACAAAGGCGGCTCTTTGTACCATCTCCCACCGTCTCTGGTGTGGCATGGTCGGAAGTTACGACATTGCAATCTGGTGATTGGAAAGGTGTATAATTACGAAATTGCTAAAACAACCTGCTACACCTTCCCGCAAGTGAAAAGTCTACTGAATACAAATCACAAGTGACATGGCTATGTCGTATTATACGACATACATTTATGCGTTTTTGATACACTTTTCCAGGAACCAAGGGGTTAAGCCAAAATTTTAAGCCGATTAAAAAATATTTTAAAACGGATGTGCTTTTTTAAACCATTAAGACAAATCGTTATAGAATTAATTGAAAACCTGAAAAAAAAATTCTACGCTTTCAGATTTCAAATTTTAGTATTTTGAGAAAGGATAATTGTTGTCTTTATTAATGAAAAACTTAAATGTCATAATTTGTGGGCTGATGCACCACCACCCTCGACGCCTCCTGGTGTTTAAATTGTGTTCCAGATTGGCTACAACAGTCTCAAGCAGGAGCACTTGCTGCTGCGTTGGCACTTGCAGGCATTATGTCGATGGCGGATGCCATTATCTTTCCGCGTCACGAGAAGTTTTAGCTAAATTGTCTGCGTAGCACTGCAAACACTACATACAACCGGAGCGGTCTCGCTAGATTTTCTTGTGTCTGGCGGTCGGTGCTGCCAACACGTCTTGGCCGCGGTCACTTCATTGAGCTGTACAATAAATAAAACAACAAATTTTAATGCTACGTATTGTTCTGCGCGTATTATACAACGAACGGGGGTCGCTCTTGACCACTTCGACGAGGAACGTCATGTAGTCTACGTAAGCTAGCTTGGGTAGGGGCAAGAAAACTATTCTTAGGTCGACCAGTGGGGGTTCTCCTGGACGGTAGTTGAGTCGTCGATGTGGAGATGTCAACAGCGCTTCCTCTGCTGCGTGCCCATCTCGCAGCCTGACGCATGGCTTCACGTTGCTGGGCCTGCGTCTGGCTAGGCCTTCGCGTAGTAGCCATGCGACTTGGACGTCTGGTGCTAAACTGAGGGGCATCCACTTGAAGGAGACTATCAAAATCGAGGCGATGCTGCTTCGTAGTGGGCGTAGTAGGCTTCAACACTGAGCGTGGAGTCCTGGAGCGAGTTGCAGCTGTGGGTTCGCTTGGCGCTTGCTCGTGTGGAGAAAGACCCGCGTCTTCCTCGTCCGGGTGGCTGGATGCGACGAGAGAGTCCAAAATGTCGTATCCGATGTGTGTATACCCCTCATTAGTCATATTATTTTGTGGCGCTTGTCTCGGTGTTGTAGCAGTAGGTCGAAAGGGGCGTCTCTCCCTATTCCCAGCACTTGTCGGTCTCTTCTTCACTGGAGTCTTCTCTCCACTCTTCGCAGCTCGAGGCTTCCCTTCCTTCTCCTTCTTTTGTAATTGTAATTGTTGGAGCAACTTCTTTTGTCTAACTCGGATTTTCTCTGACAAGTCAAGCGATTCTTGCAGAGAATCGCAGTGCGCTTTAAGCTTTTCGTAAGCCTTCTTACTCTTCTCCACGTCCCGATATTTCTTCTCGGCAACGGACAAAGCTCTTTTGGTCCTCTCCAGCTCGAATTTGAGTTGATCTCTCTCTGTCGTGACGTTGTGCAACTCTCTCAATGTCTTGACGATGCTGCTCTTGGCTCCACTACCTGCCACCTGATCCTTAATACTTTTACGGGGCTTATCTATAGTTCTAGTCGTCTACACGTCATCAGAATCCACACATATAGTAATTAGACTCTTTTCTTTCGCTGTAGACAGCCCTTGCCGTCCGAACGCTTACCTTATGGCTCTTAACGTCCTCCACTTCCTGTTTCGGTGTATAGAGGAAGCTTGACGCATCTAGTGACGTGTTGCGACTGCCATTGGTGCGTAACTTAAGCGTGAGGCTAGCCACGTCTTTCTGAAGCTCTTCTAGCCGCGTTTCCAGCCTGTTACGTCGTCTAAAATGCGAGTGAGCGAAGCTATAGTTCTGGTCTTGAGATTCCTCGGCTTTACTCTCGTCCTGCTCTTCTCCCTGGAATCTACGAGGCGTGATAGGACTAGGACCGTCGCGGAAGTGCCAGTCCTCAATGTTGGCAGCGTCCGTGTTGCCTGAAAAGCGGTGACGCTGCTGCTCGGGCGTCGTGAAGGAGAAAGACGGCGAGTCTTGAGGTGATGCCATGTTTTGATAAGCAAAAATGGCGCCATTGTATCCATTTCAAATTAATTGGTGTGGTGCACGTAGTTTTCTCTGAGCGGTCTTTGGATACATGTAGCCATGTGGCGTGAACGGACGCAAGTTGAAGCAATAACGGACTTTGCGCGCACATGCCGGGGGAGAAACGGCATGTGGCTGCATTAGCGGGGGAGAAAGAGGCTCTCGGAGCGAACTGGAAGTCGGCGCAATGCGTGACATCGCTCTATGACTCGTACATCCAAGTACAAAAGGAGAACGAGCAGTTAAGGGAAGATGTTCGACAACTCCAGCAGAGCGAGTTACTAGCACAAACCAACGCAATCAGGCAGCCGGAAGACACAAGATGCGACGAATTAGAGAAAGAGGTTCGATTATTACGCAGTGAGAAGCTGCGGATAGAGGAGACGCATCGACTGGAGCTCCAGAAGGTTGAGGCTCGTGTAGCCATCAGTGAGACGCAGCACCAGCAACTTGTAGCCAAGTACCACGAGAGATTCGAATTTGATCCTCTAGAAGCTAAGAGAGCAGCTATGGCGGTTAAAGCGATGCAGAACACACTACAGAACGTGGTTCTGGAGAAAGAGGAGATCGGAATACGATACGGAGAACTTAAGGAGCAGTACCGGAAATTCCACAACGAGCAGATGGATATTGTGCAGAATTTGAAGCAGCAAGTACAAAAACTAGAGCAACAAAGAGTCAGAAGTGGACAGCAACGAGTTGTCAATGCGTTGGCGAATTGGTCGACGAATAAAGTGAGGAATACGTGGGATAAGTGGGTCGAGCTGACAGAAGAGAAGAAAAAGAGTGAAGACAACAAGCAGAAGATGGCTACATTTGAGCGGAAAGTTGACGACCGAGTTGCGAAAATCAGAGAGAATCAGGCAGCTTATCTTGCGGTCAAATGTTTGCAGCAAGCAGCACGACGAAGTGTTATTCAGTGGCGGGAGGTAACACGACGAAATATCGAGCGACGTCGTAAAGAAGTTAGATTTAAAGAAGAAGTATTGAGAAGATGGCTTCACAGCGTCGTGACATGTTGGCGACAAGTGTATCAAAAAGAGAAGGATATCCGACTCGGAAGTTTTAAGACGGAGCGACTGGTGTCCTCCCATTTACGTCGCTGGGGGGTGCGAAAGTGGCGTGTCCAGATGTTTCGTCTTGCTTTGGGGGAAAAGAACCAAAGATTGAGCGTCTTGAATGGGACAATGGAGGGTCAGACGAAGAGAATTGTGGAACTGGAGATGAAACTTGATGAGGCTTTTTATGCAAAACGAGAACTGCAGACACATCAGGAGCAAGAAAATTTGAAATACGCAGAGGATATTGAGAAGCACCAAGCTGCTGCTGTAGCTGTGCGTGAGAAACTCGGACGCTTCTTCACGAAACAATCCGACCGCCAACTGCAAAAAGATGCAGTGCGTGAGTGGAGGACTATCGCCACGTATCTGCTAGGAGTGAGGCAACGTACCGAGTTGGTGGAAGTGAAACTACGAGCTCTGAAGCTTCGACGATCAGTGAGTAACTGGCATAATAAAGCGCATCAGAATCACATGAAGCGCTTGAAAACGCAACAGATTCTCAGTCGTATGCGTCATTTAGAGGTGGTAAAATGCTTCAACTCGTGGAGAGAACTCGTTAACAACCAGAAGTCACGGAAAACAGCGTTATTGTATGCTGTGAACCGGATACGGAATCGAGGAATAGCGCGATGTTTTACTCAGTGGGTGGCGTTCAAAGAGCAGCGTATAGCTCTTCGAAGTGGGATCGAGACGATGGCTACATTTGCACTGAAGCAACAAACATATATCATATTCAACTCCTGGAAAGAGCGCGATGTGGAGCTCAGAATTGCAGCTCAAGTGCGACAACAACAGTTGATCCAGCACGCGTGGGAGAGTCGACTGGAGCAAGCCAAGAACGACTTGAATTTCCAGCGAGAATGCTTCACTCGATGGCAGAAACTGGTTCTCAAACGACAGCGACGAAATATCGTCGTGAAAAAGCGTCTAGCTCGACTTAGAAATGTTTCCATTGCGAAATCCTTTGGTAGTTGGTGTAGATTTGTCGACACTCGACAGAATCAACGCGATCTGGTCCGTCGATGGGTCGGACGGTGTCATACCGGCGCCTTACAGCGAGCGTGGAAAGGATGGCAACAGCAACTTGTGCTGAAGGAACAACAGCTGCTGATGCTGCGTATGCAACAAGAACGAGAAGCTGAGCTCAATAGGCTTGCGACTGAGTTTGAAGTGTACCGAACAACCCAGCAGACGTTGCTGGAAGAGGCTAATCGAGCTCAAACAGAGCAAGAGAATGCACTACGAGAAACGAGAACTCTTCTTCAAGAAGAGACAAAACGAGTGCAACGCTTAGCAGGTGCAGTGAGTAGTCTGTGCTCCAATAGAGATCGAGGATCCACCCAGCTGCGTGTCTTTAAAGCGTGGCATAAAGCTGTTCGACGATCGGCTTTTAGCCGTAATACTGTCGACATCTTCCAGACCGCTTCAGAAATCCGACAAACGCGAAATATTCTATTGAAATGGAGACAATTTACGGCTCATCAACGACGTCTAAGAGCGGTGTTTACCACAACTCTGTCGTGTTTCTCACGGTGGTGGCAGTTGCGGTGCTTTAGAGCATGGAAAGCAGCACGACAGAGGAGTCGAGCGGTGCAGTTATTCTCTTCGGTATTTATTCACAGCTCGGAAATATTCATATCTCGAGAAGTGTTAACAGCATGGAGAAAGATGGCGAGGAAGAACCATCTCCTGCGTAAGACGATAGAGAAAATCTGGTTAGACGCCATACACGCCAAGATGCAGCAGCATTTCCGACAGTGGGTGGACTTGACGAAGGCTGAGGCAGCGAAAGAGAATATTGAAAAGCGAAACGTTGCGCTGGCGGCCATCCGAGCCAAAGTTTGGTGGAAACGGTCGGTGTCCACGATGCGTTTTTGCTTTTTAGAGTGGAAAACGACTGTCGAATCGAGCAAGAAACAGCGTCAAGCTGAGCGGAAACTCCTTCTTTTCCAGCAAGCACGTCTCGTTGCAATGTGCTTCAACGCTTGGTCGAAATTTGTGGTGATGCAGAGCGAAGAAGAAGACCGAAAACAACAATTTGCTCGCTGGTTTATCAGATTTCAACGTCGAAAACAACAACGTGCCATGACATTTTGGAAGAATCTGGTGATCCGCAACCAACTGCAGGACCTGGAAGAGCTGAGGAGAGCGAGAAACACTCAGCAAGAGGAACTGCAACTCCAAAGGGAAGAAATCGACCTGCTGATGCAACAGGCCGCAGACACGAAGCGCCAATTGGCTGCTGCCACCGACGTCCACGACGAATCTACAACGAAGTTGCAGTACTTGACGGAGTATGGATTACTATCGAAATATTTCAACGCGCTTAAATTTCAGGTCTCGATGAGAAGATATCGACATCAAGCCGCTCACTTTTCCCAAAAGAATGCTCGTCGACAGCATCTCGCAGAACTGTTCTCCACTTGGTTTAATTTTACGCAAAAGAGTCGTGTATTAAAGCTACGTGTTGCTGAAAGTATTGGACGAAGTACTACTTTTCTCTCTCGTAGTATACTACGACAATGGCGCTCTATTGCGCATCAACGACGCGTAATCAAACAAAAGCAGCGTAAACTACAGCGACGAGTCGGTAGACGAATTCTAACGAGCTTGTTCATAGCCTGGCGCCTAATCATTCGTCGAGAAAGAAACGTTTCTATTGCAATGGATCACCTGGGGACTATTGCTCGAAGACTGACACTGAAGTTCACACTGACATCGTGGCAACAAAGAACTATTCAGGAAAGAAAGAAATCTATTCAAGAGAAAGAAAAGCACAAGAGAATCCTGCAATTCTTGATGGGCAGACAAGAAGCGAGGCTCGTGCGTACGTTCCACACGTGGAAGGAGTATACACAGATTAAACGAGTAACTCGCTCTCAAGCTCGTCAGATATACACCAAGAAATGCCACGTTATACTCGAGCAGTGCTGGGATGACTGGCGTTCCACCGTGCGATGTATACAGCTGCAACGGACATCTGTTGCCTGTATACAGACCACAATGAAGCGCTACTACTACCGCACAGTGCTCTCAAGATGGAGACGATATCGCTTCCTAAGCCAGATTAGAACCCTCCAGACTAATAACGACACTTTGTCCGATCAAGTCGCTGACGCTACTCAGCGATTACAAACTAAATCGACGAGTGTGGACCAGCTTTTGTTCGAATTGAAACACTTAAAAGAAAAACTCGACGAGGCGGAATCGAGATCGTCAGCTGTGAGTTTAGAAGTCACTTGTCAGCAATCGAATCGCAGTAAGCAACTGAGTTGTTTACGTGTGATTAGCAAGATCATGTTGAAGCGAACTGTGTCCAGAGAGTTGCTCGAGGCGTTCGCTTTTTGGAAAACAAAGCTCTTTGATGTAAGAAGAAAACACCGCGCTTTACTGAGTGTGGCTAAGACTCGACAGCGAAGACAGCGGTTGCTCGCATTCTGGCTGTGGAAGGTCAAGACACTGCGGTGGCGACAGCTTGAGGCTCTTCGAAAACTATGGGGAAAAAGCGATCTACGAACAATTCTTCAACGTTGGAGAAAGTTTTCTATCGCGCAAGCAAAGCTTCGACTCTTCCTCACAAAGCGATGTCTGCTATCGTACACGGATCGTTGTGTGCCTGTGTCTATTGCTTTCAAACTCTGGAAGATCAAGTCGGCAGCGCTTCATCAACTCGCAGCACTCCATACGAAACTTCGAATCGAACAAGACGCATCCACTTATCATCTACGTAGATTGACGGTAGGGAAATGGTGTTGGCTAGCTTATCATCATCGTCTTCGTCAGATGCGCGCTTTCTTCTCTCAATGCTACGTTAAGTCCACGAAGAACATCGCAGTAAGACACCGCCGTGACATTGAGGAGATGCAGGTGAATAGTGACGCTGCGTTGGCTAAAGTCAAGGAGCAAAGTGAAGCGAGAGCGCAAGAAGAGAAGGGGGCGCTATCAGCTGCAGAGGAGCAATTGACCACGGGGGCTTCGTTCCAAGCACTGCAGACACTAATTCGTCGCTTGTTCCAGCCAACCTCGATAAAAGATCTTTTCGTCAGCGTATCCAGCACTTTTGCACAGATTGTACACGGTAGTGCAGCCGTCCTATTCCTCTTCGACCCAAGCAGCAATGAACTGTGGACGCAACGTGAGGAGAATCAGTTGATACAAGTACCAGGCTCTCTGGGTATTGCTGGAAGTACACTAGCGAGTGGATCAACGTTAATCATCACGGACATATCAGCCGATCCACGCTTCCATCCCATGGTCGATCAGTTCGCCATGAACGGCTTACAACAGGATGATACCTCACAGCTGATGAGTATCTCTCGACCAAATCTGAACTCCTCGAAGCCAACGCATGGCATGGTATCGTCGGCTCTCGTCTCCTCTGATGGTAACATTCTAGGTTTCTTCTTTTTAAAACCTGATTTAACTGGCATTGTGTACGTTTAAACAGGGGCAGTATATGGCGTTCTTCAAGTGGCTTTCCCTACCTCGACTTTATCTCCAATCGACCGACGAATTCTTGTGACTCAAACGCAGCTTTATAGTAAAATCTGCTGCTGCTACGGTATGTTAAACTGAGCTTTTTTATCCACTTGAAACAGTGAAAATCCTGACGTGTTGTTGGGTACAGTGGAGCAGATAATGTTCGAGATGCTTCGCAATTGTCGTGACCGTGTTCGCGCTCGCGTCCCCGAGAAATTTATGAAATTATTCAAGCAGAATAAAAACTGGCGCAAATACTACACGTTGCTCGAGCGGAAAGCTGTCGAGTTGGAGACCAAGCTGCGTGACGTGCTGGAAGAGCGCGAGCAGCTCATCCAGTCGAAAAACGAGCTCCAGAAACGTCATCAACTCGTGAAGGACAAGCTCGAATCCAGCGAACAAAACTCGAAAAATGTGAGCAACCTGGTGGCAGATTGGAAAAAGAAGATGAGTAAATGGCAACAACTTCTGGACGACAAAGACCGAGCAATTGCTGACAAGACAAATGAGGTCGAGAAAGTGGAGAGAGAGTTTGAAGCATTTCGACGTGAGCGACGCAGTAAAGACTTGCAGAGTGTACTGAATTCACCTACACAACGCACGCACAGTGAAGCGTGTGACGAGTCCAAGTCTCTTAGCGATCGAGGTCAGCTCAGTCTTCTCCAAGCAGATAAAACCAGACTCAAGAGTCAACTGGTGCGTGCAGAAGCCGATAACCTGCTTCTCGTCAAAGCCATCAGCATTTCCCGCAGTCAACATGGAGAATTACCGAGAACAATCCAAGCAGAAGTGACGCGAGTAGCTACGCGAGTGTCACGCCGTGCCCCATCCGAAGCTTAAATCGTAAGAAAAGGCAATGCATACCGGTACTCCGGACGTTACTTGCTCAGTGTGAGAGTGTAGTCCGACGTCTCCTTGGACAACGCAGCACGGTAGCGATCTTGCAAGATCTCGGCCAACAGCTCGTGCGTTCCAAGCGCCTCCGTGACGCGAACGTCCACGTCTGTGTGTCTGGCACGGACGTCCTTAATGATCTCTTCGATGTCTCCTTTCTCGCCCGCGTGACGGCCATTGGAGAAGAACATTTTGGCACATACAACGATCCCCTTAGTCACGTTGTAGTGATCCAGCGCTACAGCCAGCAGAGGGTCGTTAAAGTCGTATTCGGCACCTTCACGACGCTCCATACACGCAGTACCGACGAGCTTCACACGCTGGTTGGTCTTCAGCAACTCACGCAGTTCGTTCGCTACAAACTCGCGTGACTCATGCACGTCACGACTCGGAGTACCGTGATCCACGACAAGCACCGTCACGTCTTCCTGCAATGTCGCAAAGTCCACAGCTTCGTGGATACGTTCCAGTAAAATCTGAGCCACACGAGTGTCGTGGCCGTCCACTAGACAGCCACCAATACGGACCGAGAGAGCAGCGGACGTTGACGAGACGGAGTCCCATACCTGATTCATCGTCTTGGGCAAGAACTCGGTCAACGTCGAGCTGTTCCCGAAAAACAGTGGGAGCACGACAACGTCGCTCGCACCTTCGCCACGTGTAGCCAGATGCTCGGTCAGCACCATCTCGAACGTCTTGGCTTTGAGTCCATTGAGTTCCTGAGGATCCACACGGTTCGAGAACCGGAAGCTGCATGGCACCACTGGTTGGCCCAGAGCACGACTCAGTCGGAAGCTGATCTGACGCAGGTCCAAGTACGGCTCGGCCCGTAGAGATCCGATGTTCACCAGCACCACTAGACGTTGAGTAGAAGAGACGATAGGATTGGTAGACTCTCCTTTAGCCAGTTTATCCTCCTCCAACACCTGCGCTAGGATACCTTTACGATATGTCGGATACAGTAACTGAACGCCCAGTTCCTCTTTGATCCGGTGATTGGCACAAATCTTGCTCTCGGCATAGAAACTCTTGGCCATTGCACTCATATTCTTCTCAGCCTCTTCCCATGACTGACTCAGAGGTACAGGAACGCCCAGTAGCTCACACGCATAGGCCGTAACTTCATCCGCCGGGGCTGGTTCATCGTCGCACATGTTGTAGATCCCTCCGGGATTCGGACGAGCGGCCGAAGCTAGTAAAATTTGGACAATATCGTCGACATGAATGCGGTTGAATTTCCTCCCCGGGATGTGGATCCTCGAAGCCGTTCCACTTCGAACTTTAGTGATCGTTCCTCTACCGGGTCCATAGATTCCCGCAATTCGGAAAATATGGGTGGGAAGTTCCGAATCGAGCCACAATCGCTCGGCTTTGATCCGCATTTGCGATCGTTTAACCATTGAGCCGACCGGTGCTGACTCGTCTACTACAACGCCATTGGTCTCTCCATACACCCCAATGGTCGACAGGTATCCCACCCATTGGATCGAGTCTTTCGTGGCACGGATCAAGCGATCCCCAACAACTGACAGAACGGGGTCTTCCTGGCCGTCTACGCGCCCTGTGGGCACGGACACCAGCACGTGGGTGACCCCTTTAAGTGCGTCCTCGAGTGACAACGCGTTGCTGTCACTCCACTTGTCTCCGTCGAAGAGGAACACGTTTGGAGGTAAAGTCTCCGATCCTTCGAAACGGAATACTTCCGGATCGGATTGCGACAATTGCGTCGCGGCCTCCACGGAGCGAACGGTACCTGAAATGGAGTAGCCGAGGGAGTGAAAGGCGCGAGCGGCTCGAGACGCAGAGTAGCCCAGGCCGAACACGAACAGCTTGTTAGAGGACATGCTTTTAGCTCGAGTGACGTCAGTGCAGCAATGAAAGGCTGCAGTTTCTTTACCGCCTGGTACGGTACCTCTTGAATGGTACATTGGACCACTTGTAACAAGCTGAAGAGGTTTACAATATTTTCTAATTTCATTGAGCATTCTCAAAGATGGAACACAATGAAGGCTTCACTGTGAAGTTGCTCGTCACTGAGCTCCTAGATATGTGTTTGGTTTGCCATTAATACATCGAATGCTTGTAATACTGCTCATGTACGAACTTCTAATCGAGGTGGTGATTGAAGCGACTGCAAGGTCCAGCCAGTATCACAATGCTCGAAGAAGGGTGTGCTGTCAGCCCTTCACGCGCTGCCGCTGTTCTTAAACTGTGTAGATCGGAGCAATATGTACAGTGCTCAGCAAACGCACAGTGCAAGTACTACATAGTACTCTGTATTGTAGCCATATGCACAGTGCAGTTGATGTTGAGTCAGCGGATACCGTTGAGGCTTAAATTGAGCAGCATTGTATTGTTTTAATACTACAGCACATGTACACACACAGGTGTACATGTCAGACGAGGACCGAGGGCCTCCCTGTCTCGAAGACAGTCTTCGCAGTTCACTGCTCCGATGAGCTGACTTAGGCGCAATCTCTTGATATCAAAGTCGGTAGGCGCCCTTCGCGTGACAATCCAGACTAAGATTCGTAATTCGAGCCATCCCACATAACTCACAACGGAATTTGCTACCGGTTGTCGCTAGGCTCGTTGGTCAGCGCCATGTTCGATCCCGACCGGTGTCCGCAGATTAAACTCTCTTTTGAGGAGCGCGTAATGTACGACTACGCCGCGAGGAAATTCTTGCAAGACACTGTGGCTGAGCGGGCCAAATTTAACCCCAAGAAGATCGACCCGCAGCACTGGGCGTTCGTGAAGCGCCGAAAAGAGGTCAGCGTCTTCAACAGCGTACCAGGTTCGACGAACCCTTCGATCATCGTCATGGTCGGCACGGGTCTCATTGATGGTCGACTCGAAGACGTCATGGGCGGCTTGTACTGTGAGACAACGGACGAACTTCGCACTGCCAAAGTTCTACTAGGCTACGACCTCAAGGACGGATCGGTGCTTAACATACACGAACGTCGCACACCCGAAGACCCGTTCCGGTTTGCAGGTATCAAGTGGTTTGCCGGTAGGTGTGCGTGGGGGTTACTACACGACCGAGACGCACTGACCTACGAACGGATGGGTACCACAACGGATGCCCGTGGCCACGAACTTGCTTACCACACGCTACAGTCGATCAAGAGGCCAGAGTGGCCGTCCGAAGCCACGCCGGGAATGTTACGGCAGCACACTGCGTCCTGCTATCTCTACCGTCGACACAAGCGCACCAACAAGACAGAGGTCTTCCTTTGGGGATCGATTCTAAAGTTCGGATCTGCTCCGGAGAAGGCGATTCAGCTTGGTGTTGCCAGCACTTGGCTCAACGTCGTTCGTAGTCCAAAAGGTGGCCGAGCCAAGAACTTCAGCACGCTCATGGACGAAGCTGACAGCCATCAATGGTTGCCATCCAGGTACTGTAACTCGTTGCGTGTCATTTGCACCCGTACTTGCTGTCTCAACGCAAAGCTAACGTTGTATCTCCGTCCTGTCTTCCGCTGTAAAGTTCGACCTGCCACGTCTGCGCTCGGAAGCCAAAGTTGGGCTCGTATCCCCACTGTGCAGGGTGTCACCAGGTGCGTCCCTATTATTACTTTATGGTTGTCAATCAATGCTGTGTGGTTCTCACTTCGCCCTTGTTGACCATCAACAGACCGTGTGCAAGGACTGCTCCGAGCAGCATCATATTTTCCAGCTTAGTAAGTCCGGACGAGCCAAGAAGAGGCTGTTCTGTGTCGTGTGCGTCAAGAATGCCACCGGTAGGACCGACCTTAGTCGCAACCGAAACTTGTTAGCCTCGGGCTACGATATGAGCGAGTGCTCTACAAGCGGCACCCACAGTATAAGCAGCAGTAGTCGAAGCAGTCGTAGCGACAGCTTTTTCAGTCGCACGTTCAGCTTCAAGCGACCACCCGACCCGTTCCGTCCGCGCGTGTCTCCTTCAGACGACGAGGCACCGGATGAATTGGACCTCGATTGGTAAAGCAAGGCGTTAGGATGATGGCGCACGAAGAGCGTGGTCATACGTAAACAGGTTAAGAAAAGATTTACGGGGAAAACAGGGGATCGTGCATCGAAATCTCTTTTCCGAGGAGCTTGTCATGGAGCACCACGCGAATGAACAAGTGTAAACGCCAAAAAAAATCCAGCTCTTACTGTAGCTGGCCTTATTAACTGTAAGCACTGTGATTCGAGCTGAATATCGATCGTACGGTGGCTTGTTTCTTCGACTTCCATAATTCATAGTTGAAAAAATTAAAAAGTAACTTACGACTGGTTTTTGATATCAGTACAATTAAAATGTTTTTTGTTGGTTTGTAAATTGAATCAGTAGTAAATGAAAGCACGACGCTAGAGCAGGACAATTATTTCTTTAATTTTTGCCGAAGGTATGCAAGCACCGAGTATTACACGAAAGTTATTGAGATAGTTTTTTCGAGGCTTAATAGTGCCTCTACCTTTATCATTTGTATAATTTCCTTGACTAGCATATCATACAGATCGGGCCCAGCTTGTGCTGGCTACTTAGACGAGGCTGGCTTGGTAAGAAAAAGGAAATGAAATCGAAGTTAATGCTGGACATTCTACTGCTTCGGGTGTCAAATCAACAACTATTACTAAATATCATTTTTTGCATCTACGAATATAGAATCTTAATTAAACCTGTCTTGTGCGAGAGTCCTAAAAAACCTAGCTAACCAATCCAAGTATTAATTTTGATAACTTTCACAATTGGCTCCCGTATTTTTTTCTACATAAAAAAATGATGCGCACTGCGCACTGACGCATTCCAAAATTGAAGAAAGTATCTCCTACAGCACTATGTATCAGGAAGCATAACTTACTACAAAAATGTACTACTTCATCATCAAATCTGGCAGATGCGGATATTAGAGAGTTTTAGATTTGAAACAAAAGTTTTTTTATAAATCTGAATAAATGACGGATAGATTACCTTTGGATCTACCTATTCCACTGTATTTCTGGGCCATCCTTCTTTTTTTCAAAATTTTGGACCGTCAGTGAAATGGAAGGGCAGAGCTGGAGTCATACATGTAGCTGTTTTTCCTTTAAAGGCGACGCTGGACATGGCTATTTCCTCTACCGGTCCAAACTCAAGTCTTACATTCACTCTCTCGCAGTTTGTGTTCGAGAAACTTGGAGAGTTGGTACCGAGGGTGAAGGAGAACGGCATGAAACTCTTGCGATTCGATGAAGCCAAAGCACAACAACAGAAGGATATCAATGCCCAGTTGCCTTTAATGCTCGTATACGTCATGGCTGCATACGCAATTACAGGGGATGAGTACACTTGCTCGGATGCTGTTCTCAAGGGTGCTGCCATATATTAATACGCCAAAAAGCTGCTGACGCCTCCAGGCCCAATGCAAAACAATGAGAAAATTGCATCGATAATGCACACCTTAAAATTCATAAATACCTTTGCGCGGTGCTGGGGTGCTTACAAAAGTAACCCCAACAAGTATGCGGCTCCGTACACCATTGTAGTGCAGAGCTCAAACTTTGGCAAGAGTCAGTTGGTGTAAGAAGTTGCAAAAATGACAGCGAATGGGATGAAATGAGGCTTCCATACGTTTGCACTCGCAATGGGAACAAGCCGTGTGGGTTTCCTCTTGAAACTCCTGAACTAGCCAAGTGGTTCTTTCCCGATCAGACCGGAGGACAATATCTCCACGCAACTACTAAAAACAGGGACTTCCGCTCAAAAACAAAACTGGAGTGTGGTGGGCTCTGAGTGGCTAAAAGGATAAGGACATCACTCGCACTCGGTGGCTTACAGTAGCTGTCGACGAAGCAAGATCGTTGATGGGCCAACCAGAAAGTCGTGGCTTGTCAGTATTAAATTCCTTGAGGAGAGCGTTGGTGACGGCGAATAAAGTGTTTTACGGCTGTGGCGGGATATGTGATGTACTTGTTGACACGAGTCCCAAATTGATCTACAGGGCTCATGACTACGTCCCATCCGGAGGTTTGGATGCAGCATCACGAGTGGGCGCGCACTAGGAAGTGATGGCGCTCTTTTCACCTTTCGTACTAACGCACACGAGAGGTGTATTTTGTCGATTCACAGAATAATCAGAGCAGCACGGCGAAGATAGACAAGAAGCTGGAAGCTCAACGAGAACAGAAAAACTGCCTACGTGATGTATCTTGGAGGCACAAGATGAAAGGAGTTCGAGTGCAATGGGTAATGCTTCGTGGCCGTTCGTGTCTAATAACATCTCGAAACATTTGAAGGAGATTGCGAAGTTGGCGTGGTGCGTGCAGGAACTCGTAACTACTGTAGTGATTTGAAGGCGCGCAATTCCTCCGCATTTGCAGAACAGCTCAACTTACTCAGTGAAGACGACGTACAAGACATCGTAAAACACTCCATTGCGATCGGGGATAAGCCGAAGTTCTGTCAGTCGTAGGGTGTCACACCAGAAGTATTTGTAATGACATCTTGCTTAACGTAGCACTACCGCTTTTCAGACGGAGACTCCGGTAATATAGTACTGTCAAGTATTTTTTATCTTCCACGCGTAACTGGTGTTGATACCGCAAATTGGAACTTACGCACCTACCGGCAGCTATTCTTCTACAGTATAAACCGCTCCGTCATCTTCTTTAACTGCAGACTGTGAGATAACGAAAGTAGACGAACTGGGCACGCCCAAGTCTAGCTTGTCTTCCGTGTTGGATCAAACCACGACCCGCTCGCTTCTCTTTAGAGCTTGGGGCCAAGTCGATCCAGCACCGATCGCTTCTTGGTTGCAGGTTCCCCGGATCCCTTGCCTCCTCGATCGTCGCTTTTCTTGCGAGGGGGTCTCTTACGGTCGTTGCCGCCGCTTTTACCGTCGCCCTCCACCTCAATCCGTCGCTTGTCGTCATCGCCACCCCCTCCGCCGCCTCCGCCACCACGACGACGGCGACCGCGAGAGCCGCGAGACGAACCAGACGTTGTGGTGACCACGCGTCCACTGCCGCCGCCGTTTGAGCCCTTCTCGTTGCGACGCTCCTTCTCAGCGCTGCGACGTCGTTTCCGCTCACCACCCGCGGTAGCTTCATCACCTGCTGCGTCACGTGCGCGCTTTCCTTCCCGTTCCTTGCGGTCGCGAGGACGGTCTCGTTCTTTGCGCTCACGCTCTTTTTCGTTCGTCTTCTCGCGGTCTTTGCGCTCGCGCTCTTTTTCGTTCGTCTTCTCGCGGTCTTTCTCCCGCGCGCGGTCGCCGCCGCTACTACGATCCTTAGCACGGTCTCGATCGCCGCCGCTGCTACGATCCTTTGCACGGTCTCGATCGCCGCCGCTACTGCGGTCCTTAGCACGGTCTCGATCGCCACCGCTGCTACGATCTTTTGCACGGTCTTGATCCCCGCCGCTGCTGCGATCCTTAGCACGGTCTCGATCGCCACCGCTACTGCGATCCTTTGCACGGTCTCGGTCCCCACCGCTACGATCCTTTGCACGGTCTCGATCGCTGCCGCTGCTGCGTTCCTTTGCACGGTCTCGATCGCTGCCGCTGCTGCGTTCCTTTGCACGGTCTCGATCGCTGCCGCTGCTGCGATCCTTTGCACGGTCTCGGTCTCGATCGCCACCGCTACTACGATCCTTCGCACGAGACGACGAGCTATTATCCTCCGCACGCCGACGAGATGATTCCCGCGATGCGCCACGACGAGATACCGAACGCGAACGTGAGCGACTGCGACGGCTACGAGAAGAAGAGGCTCCTCTCTTCTCAGCTGCCGAACCACGCTCACGGTTACGGTCGCGGTCACGATCGCGGTCACGGTCCCGGTCGCGTCCACGACTGGAGCGGGAAGGAGATCCGTCATGCTTACGGGAAGAGGAGCGACTGCCATTGCGTTTGTCTTGTTTCTTTTCACGATCATCAGCACTGCTACGAGAACTCTTTTTGTCATCATCACGAGAACTTTTCTTGTCTTCACCACGAGGTTTCTTCTTGTCTTCATTTCTAGCACCTTTGCCTGTCATGCTGTCGTCGCTCTTCTTACGGTCGAGCTTTGCTGGGGTCGCAGGGGTCTCGTTGTCGCTTGGCATGTCTTCATCCATCGGCTCAGCCAGAAAGTCAAGATCGATGGCCGGCGCAGCGACCTGGTCCAGCTTGACGTCCTTAACGGTGCTTTCTTGTTTCTTCTCTTCGTCTTCGGGCTTTCTCTCTTTCTCACTCGAAGCTTTCGTGTCTTTGCTCGATTCTTTGCTCGAGTCTTTCGAGTCTTTGCTTGACTTGGCGTCGTCGCGATTGCTACTCTTGTGCTCGCGGTGATGGCGGCCACGGCTTGTACTGCGTGACCGGCGCGACGACGAAGCCCGTGAGGAGCTTGTGTGCTCACGAGTCTTCTTGTCGCGTCTAGAGCGCGAGTTGCTGCGGCTGCGCGATCTCGCATGGGCAGGCTTGTGGCTGCGACTGCGACTCCGACTGCGCTTGCTCCGCTCTCGATCTCTGTCGCTGCGTGAGCCACGCGAGTCCTTGTCCTTCCCATCACGACGATCACGTTCGCCCTTACCGTCACGGCCAGAAGAGCGGTCGCGTGCGCGTGAGCGATCCCTGTCCCGAGAGGAAGAACGATCGCGTCGTCGGTCATCGTCGCGTCCCCGTGCTCCTCGTTCTCCTTCAAACCAGCGATCTCCACCGCCTCCACGTCCGCCAAAAGGCATCGGCCCATCGAACCAAGGTGAAGGAGGGCCAAAGTAGTCCGGGTGTCCAGGAGGGGGGCCGAAATGATCCGGGCCGGGTCCTCCGAAATAGCCTGGAGGGGGCATTCCACGGCCTCCACGACCGCGGCCCCCACGACCGCCCTTACCTCGTCCGCCAGGGCCTGGAAACGGGCCGTCGAACCAAGGTCCAGGCGGCCCATCGAACCAGGGGCCCGGTTGGCCACGCGGCGGGCCATCAAACCAGGGTCCAGGCGGCCCATTGAATCCCATCGGGGGGCCACGCGGGCCGTCAGGACCCCACGGCATCTGGTGTCCAGGAGGGCCTTGGCCATTTCCAGACGACGTTCCTTCGGGGCCTAAGCTGGGTGAAGTTTTCTCTGCGTTCTCGGCTGCTTGGCCTCCGTTAGAAGACGCGTCGCTTTGTTTTCCGCGACGTGCCAGTAGCTTCGCCCGGTTTTGCTGTCTCGCTTTCATCCTTTGGAAGCGGAGGCTGCGGGTGTGGCGGTGACGACGCAGGCGTGGCAGTCTTCTGAGGTGACGACGCTTCTTCATTCTCATCGCCATCGCCGAAAATGTCACCTCCAAACTCGTCTTCTTCTTCTTCCTCGCCGTCACCTTTCTTGCCTTTCTTGATCTCCAACGTTGCGTCTGCACTGTCTCCTGAGCGACGAGTAGCTGAGCTGGCCGCCAACTCTGCGGCCTTCTGTTTGGCCAACGCCTTCTCCTCCGCTTCCTTCACTAACTGTTCCCGCTCTTGCTGCTCTGTCCGCGCACGCCGCAGAAACTCGTCCACCGACGTCCGCAACACCTTGTTCGGTAACAGCTTCTCAGGCGACATGTTGCTCACATTACACAGCGGACACGTAAGCTTGCGCTCGATCAACGCACTGCGAAGGCATTCATCACACGCCGACTGTAACCATACCACGACAACATAAGTCACAGTTAGTCAGCCGCATTCATCGCAGACAGCAGGTACGTCGTACCTCTTGGCAGCACGGGATGAGCACGGCGTCGCTCATGAGCCGTCTGCAAAGGGGACATGCCAAGTGCTCGGGTGGATTCGAGATGAATTGATCCAAGGTGGCCGAGCCGCCCGACCGGGCCATTAATTTAGAGAAGTTTTTATTCTGCGGTTCTATCACAGCTAGCCCGCCCCACGGCGCGTTCACTACCGTTTTGCCCGCGCCTACGGGGATCTCGCTGGGATCACTCACGGCCTTCATGAAAGACTTGGGGATGCCCGTTTTCTTTTTCACTCGGTGCTGATCGAACTCCGGATCCCCATTCGTGGGGCAGTTCTGGATATAGTGGCCGGGTGTGCCGCATCGGTAGCACACATAGTTGGGCGGCGGGTTACCCAAAAGGTTCGGTCCGCCGGGGGCTCCAGAGCCCGCGCCCCGGCCGCCACCTCTTCCATTCATCATTCCTCCTCGTCCGCCAAAGTCTCCACCGCGGCCGCCACGGCCAAAGCCTCGGCCGCCGGCGCCACCTCCTCGTCCACCTGCTTCTCCACCTGGCCCATTGGCCGCGTAGTAGTTCATCACATGATTGGCGTTGCTGCCGCTGGATGCTGTCCATGTCTTATTGCCCAGTCTTGAGCCACGCATGTCCTCTGCCTGTTCGTGAATAGATTGTAGAGCAGCTAGCTCGTCTTCCATTGTCTGTGCCCCTGCGGCCCGCATCTCCAGTGTTCAACGAAAGTGTAGCCATTCTGTTCATAATGAAAGACACGCAAAAGACACCAAGGGCGCCACAGTACCAACAACAACATCAGCCATTACCCACAATAAATAACCTAAATAAATTCTAGTGGCCACGTACGGCTGTGTGGGGGTGGCCCCGACTGGCAGCACGGGGGACGGCCCGGCCATGGGCGCGACGGGAGGTGACGCGTGAATGGCTGCAGCAGCCGCTGCGGCCGCAGCCACGGCCGCCTCTTGCTTCATTCTGGCCAGCAGGCCGCTGCCTGGCTGCTGGCTAGGGATACGTTTTACGGTCACACTGGTGTTCCGAGGTAGCTGTGTGTTCTCATCGTCGTACACCTTGCCGTTCTGCGCGTCTGTGATCACCAGGTCGAAGTCCAGGCCCTTAGCTAGTTTCTTCTTGTCTACAATGGCCTTCTTCAGATCCAGCACGCGGATGACGGCGCCCGGAAACGTTACCGTGTCAAACTCCTTAGCCGACTTAAACTTAAAGTGGATCGACATGTTTGGCAGCGTTTAAAGAGTGCCCAATAGCGGGAATGGGGTGTGGCCGAGGCTGTGTTTGAAGATCTACACGATGGTCCCGGTGTCGCGTACCCGATCGACGTAGAAGACTCGCTGAGGCCACGAGAAGAACGCCCGCTTGCCGCTGAAAACTGGCGGGACGTGTCGCTTCTTGAGCTGGTTGGTCAATGAGAGGGGGCTATGGCAACACAGACAGCGAGGCAGTGAAACCTGATTTGCTTTTAAACTTTATGAGTCAAAAAAAGCTATTTTGTGCAAGAAAAACTTTATGTTTCGATATCATGTAGGAGTTCATTTTCGGAATGCAGTTGCCTCAAGATCTTACATCGTGTGGAAGACCTTAAATTTGATGAAAGACAGTAGGATCGTGTTTACAAAATTACAGTAAAATTTACTTTAATGCTAAAAGCCACAAAAATTCACTTCAACATGCAGCACTTGCAACTTCACGACTCTACTCCTCCTCCCAGAACGTTTTCTCTGCGATTGAGCGCTTCTTGGCCCACTCCGAGGGCTTTTCGTTTGAGTAGCCATTGTGGTTGGGCTTGCCCTCTCGATACTTGTGCTGTAGCGGCCAATTGAACTTCCTACGGAGCTCACGAAGCTTGGCTTGAAAATCTGCAGACATTGGAGCGAGCTTGGTGGGGAACGGGTGCAGGTTTCCGCGGTTGAATACAATGTCATACTCTCCTGTGCTTGTCGTAACTCGACCAGTGATAAGTACTTCCATCTTCTCCTCATAAAGCTCGACCGTCTTCTCGCCACTTTCAAAGTGCTTCAACGCCTTCCAGAGCAACTTGTGCTCCCGACTGGCACTGTCACGGACGAGGACCAATTGTTCCAGAAACTCATCCATGGATGAAGCCTTTGCAGTCTTGAGTGCGCGACTCCATCGCTGCTCGGCTGCTTCATTGGCGCGACGCTCACGTAGCTCTCGCAAGAACGCATCGTTCTTCTTACGCAGCACCTGCATCGCCAAAGCCTGGTACGTCTCACTACCAAGGTTTGCGTCCAAAGTGCTATTCAACTCCCAGTTGATCTTTCCATCCGAAGTAGCATCCCGAATGATACGGTAGCGAGCGGATCGCTTTTGAAGTAGTAGGAACTTCGGTACTTCTTCATCCCACGTCGGCCACAGTTCCTGAAGCGAGGGCACCGTTTGTGTGTCGTCTCCATACTTCTTCGGTGAGACAGTAACGCAACGGATGAGGTTGTTAGCACTACGCTCGAACGCGTGGAAGAAGGGCGTCTGTACGATAAATCTCTGTGCACTGTTGGTGTCGAACTTCCACACGTCCTGGTCCAGTGCATGCGGATCGAACGCATCTTCCACTACGCTCTCGTGCGTGTAGCCGACCATGTTCTCTATCAGTGTCAGGTATCTGGTCTCATTATACCGGATGAACTTGTGTACACGTGTAGCCAGCAACTCCTTCAGCACAGCCAGTAGAGCTTCACCGTCGTACTTGTCTTCGGTACGACGAAGCAGGCGGAATAGCAGTTTCCCCACCGCAGCTTCCGGATCTACCGGCATCGTTGAAAGACGCTCCGGTCCGCCCATAACAAGTCGAATCGAGTGCACCAACTTGGCTACCAATTCCCACTGGAAATCACTCAAAGGTTCATCGCGCTGTTCGACCAGAGCCATCAACGAAGCGGCCACTGTGCCACGGAACATGTTTGGACAGAATAGACCTGCCGGTGCACCCGAGAGCAGAGCCGTGAGGATATCAAGCACCTGCGTACCAGACGCTGCTCGTACTAGTACGCTGCCTAGCGCGTCATCAGGGTCAGCCACAAGCTGTGCGTAGTTGTAGTCTCGAGCTCGAATGCTCAGTCCTCCAGTCGCTTCCTCGCTACCGATGAGTGTCAAGAAATCCTTAGCGGTGACGACGTCCGGAGAGATCTTCGTGATGACAGCCGACCATGCGTCCATAAAGTCAGGCTTACCGTTCCTCTCGGGCAGCTGCAGTACTGCCAGGTGTGCGAGGAACAAGCTGGCTGGTAGGAGAGAATGCGTCCTACTAGGTGTCCTAAAGTGTCCTATTGTCCTAAAACCTGGGATAAAAAACTAGCAATCGGTTCATAAACGATCCAATATTTAGGACACCACAATGTGCTTTAGGCCAGGCTCCGTGTGTCCTAATAGGACACTCAACAACTCGACACTTATTATGTCCTATTAGGACACACAGCAACTCAGACTACTGTCCTATTAGGACAACATCAAACCCAACATGCACTGTCCTATTAGGACAACGTTACTAGTTTTCTACTGTCTTATCAATATAATTCAATTATTCATCTATAATTCACAAGAGCAATTACACATGGGAATATTGTATTAGTAGGTTCTATCTGCATCTACTCAAACCTTTTGTAGTCTTCAGGAATCTCCAGTGTCGCTGGTGGGGCATGCTGAGGGGCTTTCTGGCGGAGGTGTTTGATATCCTCGATACGCTGGATATAGCGGCAGCATGGCGGCGCTTGATCCCGTCGTACACCTCTTGCCAGACAACTGGTGGAGGGGTAGCCATGTTGCTGACGCTGCGTCGCTGTAGCTCTAGGCGCATTTCGCTGCGCACATCAATGACTTGTGGCACCGCCTCGTCGCACGTATGTAGAACCCCGTCTGCTACAACTGCACCTGATCGGACAGTTATCTTAGCCTTGCATCCTTTGCGGAACCGCTTGCAGACGTAGTAAACCGTGCTTGTTTCAGGACACGAGCGCTTGATGCAGAAGGAGTAGCCGCGATGGTCCATGGTGCTTAGCTGCCGTGGTGGAGATTGATAAATGGTTGGTAGTGTGCCTTAGGACAGTAAGTAACGCTAATGTGTGTATTAAGTAACGCTTATGTAATTTTAAGTAGAAGGTCCAGAAGAAAGTTAATATTTGAGTTTTAGGACAATATGGAGAACACAAATTATAATATTCTGTAGCGAAGGATTAGTCGCTTTTTAGGACACATCTCCAAAATCTCCCTGTAAAATTTAGGACAAATAGGACACTTTAGGACATGTCTTAAGGACGCATTATCCTACACCAGCTGGCTACAGTCTGTAGTACTGTCTTGGGGTCGAACACGTCGTCTTCCTCCAGTTCGTCCTCCGTTGCCTCTTGTGTCGTCAGCAGTGTGATAGCACTCACTGATGCCGTCAACTCACTCGTTGAGCTGATCTTTTGTTGTAGCACAGCAGGCAGTGACGTCGCAGTGAGTTTCAAGTGACTTTGATGTTCCTCTGGCATCAATTCACGGATCTTCTCGACGAGTGTAGTGGCTCGATCCAGTGCGTCGTTGTATCCTAGTTTACCGGCTAGACACTGCGCAATTGTGATCAACAGCTCCACTTGTTCTTTCAGCCCTGAAGCTGCAATTGCACGTTTGGCGAAGCGATCGCCAATCACAACAGTAGCTCGATCTAGGAAAGCAAAGAGCACGTCACGCGTATCTCCAGCCACTGGGAGGTAGTTGTGAATGACATCAGCTTCACCTGACGGGACCGTAAACTCCTCCAGGTCGTAGAAGATGAAGGTGTCGAGAGCGGCATCATTCACAGTATCATCCTCAGTAAAAGTTCCACCGGCACAACGATCGAACATCTTGGAGAGGATGACCATAAGACCGCTTGCTAATTGCTGGGCTGCACGTACCTTCGGTTCGATGAGAACTCCGTCGAACTTCTTGGCGATGCAGCCATACATGCGATGATCGCTGTTCTTGATGTACTTGACGACGTTCACGATGAGGTTACCCTCGTAATGTGCCTGTACCAAGGCAAGTGGTAGGAGAGAATGCGTCCTACTAGGTGTCCTAAAGTGTCGTATTGTCCTAAAACCTGGGATAAAAAACTAGCAATCGGTTCATAAACGGTCCAATATTTAGGACACCACAATGTGCTTTAGGACGAAACAAGCCAGGCTCCGTGTGTCCTAATAGGACACTCAACAACTCGACACTTATTATGTCCTATTAGGACACACAGCAACTCAGACTACTGTCCTATTAGGACAACATCAAACCCAACATGCACTGTCCTATTAGGACAACGTTACTAGTTTTCTACTGTCTTATCAATATAATTCAATTATTCATCTATAATTCACAAGAGCAATTACACATGGGAATATTGTATTAGTAGGTTCTATCTGCATCTACTCAAACCTTTTGTAGTCTTCAGGAATCTCCAGTGTCGCTGGTGGGGCATGCTGAGGGGCTTTCTGGCGGAGGTGTTTGATATCCTCGATACGCTGGATATAGCGGCAGCATGGCGGCGCTTGATCCCGTCGTACACCTCTTGCCAGACAACTGGTGGAGGGGTAGCCATGTTGCTGACGCTGCGTCGCTGTAGCTCTAGGCGCATTTCGCTGCGCACATCAATGACTTGTGGCACCGCCTCGTCGCACGTATGTAGAACCCCGTCTGCTACAACTGCACCTGATCGGACAGTTATCTTAGCCTTGCATCCTTTGCGGAACCGCTTGCAGACGTAGTAAACCGTGCTTGTTTCAGGACACGAGCGCTTGATGCAGAAGGAGTAGCCGCGATGGTCCATGGTGCTTAGCTGCCGTGGTGGAGATTGATAAATGGTTGGTAGTGTGCCTTAGGACAGTAAGTAACGCTAATGTGTGTATTAAGTAACGCTTATGTAATTTTAAGTAGAAGGTCCAGAAGAAAGTTAATATTTGAGTTTTAGGACAATATGGAGGACACAAATTATAATATTCTGTAGCGAAGGATTAGTCGCTTTTTAGGACACATCTCCAAAATCTCCCTGTAAAATTTAGGACAAATAGGACACTTTAGGACATGTCTTAGGACGCATTATCCTACACCAGCTGGCTACAGTCTGTAGTACTGTCTTGGGGTCGAACACGTCGTCTTCCTCCAGTTCGTCCTCCGTTGCCTCTTGTGTCGTCAGCAGTGTGATCGCACTCACTGATGCCGTCAACTCACTCGTTGAGCTGATCTTTTGTTGTAGCACAGCAGGCAGTGACGTCGCAGTGAGTTTCAAGTGACTTTGATGTTCCTCTGGCATCAATTCACGGATCTTCTCGACGAGTGTAGTGGCTCGATCCAGTGCGTCGTTGTATCCTAGTTTACCGGCTAGACACTGCGCAATTGTGATCAACAGCTCCACTTGTTCTTTCAGCCCTGAAGCTGCAATTGCACGTTTGGCGAAGCGATCGCCAATCACAACAGTAGCTCGATCTAGGAAAGCAAAGAGCACGTCACGCGTATCTCCAGCCACTGGGAGGTAGTTGTGAATGACATCAGCTTCACCTGACGGGACCGTTAAACTCCTCCAGGTCGTAGAAGATGAAGGTGTCGAGAGCGGCATCATTCACAGTATCATCCTCAGTAAAAGTTCCACCGGCACAACGATCGAACATCTTGGAGAGGATGACCATAAGACCGCTTGCTAATTGCTGGGCTGCACGTACCTTCGGTTCGATGAGAACTCCGTCGAACTTCTTGGCGATGCAGCCATACATGCGATGATCGCTGTTCTTGATGTACTTGACGACGTTCACGATGAGGTTACCCTCGTAATGTGCCTGTACCAAGGCAAGTACGTTGAACATGTCCGAGTCCACGATCGAGTGCTTCTTCTTCAGGTAATTAATTTCGTGTTCGGCTTCGCACGTCCTGGTCTCCGCAAGGAGATGCGGACCCGCGTCAGTGATAAGGAAGGCTATAGTGGGCATCGTGTTGTCCAGCGTCAGTAGCTCAGCCAACGCAGCCTTTTGGTTCTCATCACCGTCACCTCCGTTGGCACTCACGCTGGGGTTTCCAGGCGGCACACAGAGCTGGACCGACTTTATGAAATCGATGGCTTCGTCTCCTTCCGTGAAGCTGTGGTTCGTCACGAAACAGCCCTGCGAACTCTCGGTGAACGTGATGATCGTGATCATGACAGCATACTCTTCTTCAAACACCGAAGCCACGAGATGACGCACAGTTTCCTTCACCCCGGCAAGCTCACTGCTCATGGAGCCAGTGATGTCGAGCAAGAACACCAAGTTGATCATCCTTGGAGGTAAGCTGTAGGAGGTGTGGGTTGGTTGAGATGCTTAAAGCAAATTCAAAAATGAATAAAAGCCGGTAGCGAGCTGGAAAGAAAGACGTTCACTCACAGCGGAAAAAAAAACACGTGAAGGCAACAAAACCCATGTCGAAAATGGGTTCACTTCATGAGTGAGGGTCAACTTCAATTTGTGCCAAAACTTTTGGGGAAACGCAAAAAAAATGTTTCCTATAACATCTTTAGAAAATGACCGAGAATGCTCTTGTGGAGCGCACGTACCAGTCACTCATGGGTGTGGTCCAAACTACAGCCGTGAGTCGCAAAGTGCTGGCACGACCTCCATTCACGTTCCTACACAAACTCCTGGTCGAAACTTTGGGCGAGTACGACCTTTTCTCAGAGCAGCAACTCCAGTTTTCTGCCATGGTTACCAAACAGGCCAAGGTACACATTAGCAAAGTTGTAATATACGACTGGAACTTTTGTTGATTATTTGCCATTGCCCTGCAGGCTGCTTTTCTGACCCGTGCGGTCGCATTCGTGGCATTCGCGATGAATACAAAGCCCAATCGTCAACACATCTCGTGTCTTCTACTCGTCAGTCCTGTGCAAGTTCTCGCAGGTGTTAGCGTCCCCGACACGCTCGAGTTTCTTCTACAACTCTGTGAAGTGTGTCGGATGCCCGATCGCGCTATCAAAGAAGCTGCAGCGAAAGAAGTTCGCGAAAAGGGCGACGCGCACTTGTACTCGTCCGGTGTAACATTTCGTAAGGGCCTCGTACTCATTCAAAGCGTCATCCGCAGTTTTCTCAAACGTCGAGTACGGAGAGCTGCTCCACGGCTCAGTAACACACCAGCACATGGTCGAGAACTGTCGATGACTGAAGGCACTCACTTTCTCAAAGAGTTGGCCGACGGTCGAGTCTACAACGGCATTATCCGAAGTGTGCAGAAGAACATGTACGTTCTGGGATATGAGGAAGATGCAGAGGCACAAGACAAAGTCAGTAAGTGCCCTACTATTGACTTCTTCGGCTTAAGTAAAAATGCTTAGAACACTATCCCTTATTTTCAGACGAAATCGAGATGAAAATCATTCTCAAAGAGTCCCAACGACTCAGTGGAGCTCATGAATCTCTTGGACGCAGAGAGTGTGAAGACGGTGAGATATCACTCACCGACCTACCTGACTTGACTGACCCCAGCATACCCGGTATGATAAAACGTGTCTCATCTCGTGACTCGGGGGAAGCTTTGCTGGTATCGAAGACGAGCAAGTTGGACATGTTCAAACGCTCTCACACTCACAAACAACTCAACATGGACATGGGACTGTTTAGTGTCCCATCAAGTGACTCCATTCTGTTGTCTTCAAGACGGGGTTCTTTCACAGACGAATCTAAGGATACTACCATGGATAATCAAGCAGAGGCCAGTGAACTTCCGATACGAACGTTAAAAAACAGTGACTGGCAGAGCTCACTGAAGAGAATCCTCGCTAAAGGAAAAGAGAAAGTGTCCACTCCGGCGTCGGTAGGTCCCGATGTCGACGGTATTAGCAGATTGCAGCTTGCGACACCACAAAAGACTGATGTTCCCAGCTTGCCAAAGCTTGGTATCCCAGGCACGAAGCCACTGGTTCCTCTGGTGAAGCGGCGAACTAACGGCTCGACCACAGAAGCCAAGTCGACGCAAAAAGACCAGGTACGATCCTCCAAGGTCACTCGAGTAGCAACATTGCAACGAGGCTCCAGCTTATCGAATCTTCAGCGTTCTAATGCGGCTCCAGTCAGTGCTGCAAGTGCTCTCTCTCCGGCTGAAAGTGTGGTCGACACTGCGTTCGCTGGCACTTATCAGACGACCGACCAGCGCACGCAAGAGAAGCAAGCTATGATTCGAGATATTGTCATGCGCATCGACAGCTACATGAAGCGCAAGCGACTGCGAGTGATCGATCTCTTCCGCTTCTGCGATGCCGACGGGAATGGCAGCATTTCACCCGAAGAGATGATCGAGACGCTCTCGCAGATGGAGATCCAGCTCACACCCGACCAAGCACACGCGTTCCTCCAACATATCGACAAGGACGGCAATGGCTCGATCGACGTTGACGAGTTCGAAGAACTTGTCCGCGTTTCTCGTCGTAACGAAGCGCAACGCGAACAGCTCAAGAAAGAGCTCAACGGTTCTCGAAAACAATCAGAGAATAAACCCTCCCACAGACACAACGGCGTCATGAAAGCCAAGACCAAGCAAGCCATTCTCGACGAGTTCAAAGCTGCTCAAGAGCAAGACGATACAGGCATGAATGCCAACCAGTTACGCTCCCTCATCGCGCACCTATCACTGCCTGGCATCAACGACGCATTCGTCAGCTCTCTCGTGGATCGAGTAGTGGAGATTGCAGAAGCTTCCGCGTCACTTTCTCCTCCTTCGAGCTCTCAGTCACAGACACGCGGCTCAAACAAGTGCGTCATATCGTACCATCACCTAACCAAAGCACTGGACGAGCTCGAGTGGACCAAGAAGTCCAACCGCTTCCTCGATCCGTCTTGGATCCGCCAGTTTGACTCGCAGCTTGAACGCGCCATCCGCGAGTACGAGCTGCTTTGATCTACGAGGAACAGGAGTAAGTGCTGCTTACACAACGGTAAAAACCAGTCTGCTACATTATCATAGAGGCCGTAAAAGTCAAGACTTCTAGGGTGGACGAACTCGAAGCCTCGTAATATCTAACTACGCTTCCGATGCGTCCGGTGCTTTTGGCAGAACGCTTGCAGCTGTCCCCCTTCTTTCATAAACATATCGTATGCGCCTTTCGTTTCACGACCACACAACGGGTGGAAGTACGTCTCGCAGCCGCCGCGCATGCAGTTAATGCAGCCACCTTCCTTCTCGCATAACGCACAAGTCGAGCCTTTGAGCTCCTCGACGGCAGCGGCCACATGTTTTACGCCACTCATGTGCTCCACATCGGAAAACTGAACACCGGGGGCCCACAGAGCGCACACCACGTGGACCCATTTGCCCTCAATAGTCTTCTTGAAGGCACTCTTCGGGCGCTTCAAAGGACACAATTCACACGTCTGCAATAATCAAAACCCAATTAGAACCACGTCGACAACAAGAAAACCAACATGAGCGTCGCGTCGCGTACCGCATCGGCTGATGAGCCGTTCGGCTCGGTACAAAAGTCGCAGAACCACGGCTCGTCTCCTTCAGGCACGGCTTCAATTCCATAACAGTACTGTGCAGCATACAGCGTCAGGCATAAGTTCCACATAAATACACACAACAGAGGGCACAAACAAAGAATACCTGGTGAACGGCGACGGAGCACTTCTCACATTGAACGATGGGATCGTCGAGGAAGCCCTGGTCGCTGAAGCATACGCGACACCACATCTCTTCGTCCTCCTGGGGATCAACGATTTCCTTGGCTGCTTTCCGGGACTTGTCAGTTCTTGCCTTCTTGCGCGGTCGGCCACGAGGCTTTTTTTTGGCTACCTCTTCTTCCTCATAGGCATCTTCATCATCTTCCTCGTCCTCCGAGCCACTCAAGTGCTCCTCCTCTTCATGCTCCTCCTCTTCCTCTTCCTCAGAAGCGCTGAAGTGTTCTTCTCCATCGTCCTCCTCTGCCTTCTGCCTTTCAATCGGTCGTTTGCTCTTCGCAGGCGTTGACGGAGACTCAGCATCGTCGGGCGATCTATCGAGCTTCTTCTGCACCTTGTTGAGCTTGCTCGACACCTTGACGACGCCGAAGTCCTCGGAGCTCTCTGATCGCTTGAGCGAGATGAGAATGCCACTCAAACCACGATGACTAGGCGACGAGGCTCTCGAGCTCCTGCCACCAGACGATTGACGCGCAGCTTTCTTGCGCTTGGGCACATCGATCTCCTCTTCCCCAAGTTCTTCATCGTCACTCTTGAAATGCTTACTCTCCTTACTTCTGCCATTCGCCTTCGGTGTCCGCTTACGACGCGCGCCTCCCTTCTTATTCTTCGGAGATTTCTCCTTCGGTCCGTCTAGGAACTCCAGATACATGAGCTGGTCCCCCACGTCCTGACTCCGTCGACGTCTGGGTCGTTCGATCACCTGAAGCCACTCGGTAGCGACCTCGCGGACGTTCACGACGCCCTTGATTACGCAGCCAGTGACCTTCAGCTCAATCAGGATCGCCAGCACTTGATCCGCGTCAGCCAGAGACTTGCCTCGTTGCCGCTCCTTCACAACAGCGCGCGCCAGTTCACGCAATTGGGATAAGAACTCCTTGACCTCGTCGGGCGATGCCGTTTTCAGCCAGCCTTCTTGAACCTTCGTCATGAGCACCTGCACGGGCTTCGGACCGAGCACCTTCTCCCAAAACTTTTCGTCGTTGAAATCGATTGTCGTGTCAGCCGATTCAGACGTAAATGTCGCCTTGGAGAACGACAGAGCAGAGGCCTGGGAAGCAGTGGTAGGCTTTGCATCGCTGTCGCCGTCCGCGCTATTATCCGCGTCTCCTTCTGCATTATCACCGGACTTGGTGGGGTCGTATCGAATCGTACGACTCGTTTGCAGCAGATGGTCGATATCCAGCTCGTTAATAGCGCGATTGTCGGGGTCCTGCTCGTCCTCTTCTCCCATAATGGCGTACGCTCCGTACCTGATCATCATCTCGACCTTATCGCGGTCCAGGGACATCAACGACATCATATTGCCGCTACTATCGTCCTCTCCATCAAACTCATTGCGTACTCCGCCAGTCTCGAACACAGCGTGGTGCATGCCGAGCTTCTTCGACGCAATCTCAAACATCTGCGCTTCGTACGTCTTCTTCGTCACCAATCGATAGATATTCACGGACTGGGTCTGTCCAATACGGTGACAACGCGCGACAGCTTGCAGGTCATTCTGAGGGTTCCAGTCACTATCAAATAGGATCACGACCGAGGCCGCAATCAAGTTGATACCCACACCACCAGCACGGGTACTCAGTAGGAACGCGAACGTATCCGAATCCGGGCTGTTAAAGCGATCAATAGCAGCTTGACGGGAGTTTCCGCGCACAGACCCATCCAGACGTTCCATGCTGTACCCGCGTAGCTGACACATGTCTTCGATGATATCCAGCATGATCTTGAACTGCGAGAAGATCAAGACCTTCTTATTTTCCTGGCGGAACTTGGTCAGCAGCTTATCCAGCAACACAGTCTTGCCGCTCGCTTGAATCAAGATCTTCATCCGCAACTGTTCGTCAAAACCTACGCACTCCTTGTCTTCCACGCCACGAATCAAGAACGGATGGTTGCAGCACTTGCGTAGTTCCATTTCAACGTTCACCAGATTGGCGACTGTGCCAGTGGCGCCCATGTTCAAGAACTGACGATTGCGCTCGAAGATAGCACGGTAGTACTTCTTTTGCATGGTCGTAAGCTCCACATCAACGATGGTCTCTTCCTTCGGCGGGATGCTCTTTTCCACGTCCTCCTTCACACGACGCAGCATGTACGGTCTCAACTGTTCGTGCAGCTGAGCCACTTGCTCGGCAGTATTCAGGTCACCAAACTCGTCGTAAAACTCTTGCTGACTCGGGAACTTATCGGGCTCGATGAAGTTGAGCAGACACCACAGCTCGAACACGCCATTCTGCAGCGGCGTACCCGTCATCAGTAGACACGAATCCCACGTGAAGCCGTGCAGCACCTGAAGTAGCTTCGCCTCCCGGTTCTTCAGCTTGTGGGCTTCATCGATCACAATATACCGCCAGTGGATGGACTCGAGGAACTCGGCATCCATCATAAGCGTCTGGTACGAGGTGACCAGCACGTTGAACTTGTAGATGCCGCGTTTGCGATGCGCCTCACTAGCAAAGTGGAACTCTTGCTCTCGGATAAACGCGCGGATGTCGGACCCTCCTTCGGAATCATGGTACACCACGCAATTCATGGACGTCCACGTCTCGATCTCGCGCTTCCAATTGCCCAGAGTAGCAAGTGGGGCAACAACTAAGAAGGGGCCTCGAATGAACTCGCGCTGACGCAAATGCTCGAGGATAGAAGTAGCTTGGACAGTCTTACCCAGACCCATTTCATCCGCGAGGATGCAGTTGCGGCGGTTGTACCAACAAAACGTCATCCAGTTGAGACCTTCCAGCTGGTAGGACCGCAAAGTATTCTGGTTGTTGTAGACAGGAGACTCTAGGTACTTTGCCCACGTGTTCGGCTCGGGGCGAACATCGGAGTACGTCGCAGGATGAGCACCATTGATAATGGGAGGGTGGTTGAAGCGATGGAAGGCGGCGATCTTCCGGTCATCCGTAAGCTGGTCTTCCCACTCCCACGTGCAGTCGACGTAGCTCATGTCGCGCCACTTGACTAAGTACTTAATTCCCTTCTTCTTCGGCACCTTCGGTTCATCTTCAGTATCGCTGGCTTCTCTTTCAAGGAGATGGACGAGGTACGGGTTCGATTCCTCGGGCTCTTCGACCTCCTTCGCGTTCAGAATCCGATCCACCTCAATGTACGAGTCGCTGAAATAGTTGCTGAGATCCTTTTCTTCTCCTACGATGACAGTCTCTCGCGCATCCTCCACTAAGCGACTGTTCTTCTGCAGATGCCGCTTCATGCGCTGGATAGCGTGCTGTCCGAATTCCTCGATCTCTCGAACAGAGAGCCAACTCACATGCAGGTGCGACGTGTCCTTCCACTTGATCAAGAACTCCATCGACACTTCCGTGTCCTTCGCGCTGTTTTTGTGGAAACGTACGCTCACAATCTTATCGATCTGCGGACCCTTCTGAACTTCCTTTTGCTTTGGTTTCTTGGCTTTCTCTTCATCACTGAGTTCGAAATCGAGCTTCTCGTCCACATACTTCTTCTTCGCCTTGCCAAGGTTTCGTCCAGATCGCCGAGCCGGCTTCTCCTCTGTCAACACCTTCGGACCCGAGTACTCGTCATCGGAGTCGCTTTCGTCCTCGTCCTCGTCAGAATACGCTTTGATCTTCTTACCACGCTTCTTCTTGGCCGGCTTGGGCATCACGATAGGCGCAAAGTTCTTTCTCTTGTTCCTGTTCGCATTCGGCTGAATGTAGTTGTGCGCCGTCGTCTTCAGCGCACGACTCAGAATCTCATTCGGAATGTTACCGCCAGTCGACGTGAACTTGAACACCATAATCTGAGCACGCAGCTGCTCTTTTTGTTCAGCAGAGAACGCAGCACGAAGCATTGGTCTCCGCCGCTGGGCCTGCTGCATGTTCGTCATGACAGCAGAAGGGACGTTTCCACTTGCTCCGTTGCCAGCAGGGTTCATGAACTGGACTGCTCCATTGCCGTACGTTTGAAGAATGTACTGGTTGTACGTTCTCGCCGCCTCTTTCTCCGTTGAAAAGGTCCCAAGCCGTCGAATGCCACCGCCATCAACGTGCAACTCGGCATCCCACCGGTTTGGCGAGATGTACCTGACACCTAAGTGCCACATGCCAGTCGTGAACAATTGAGCATTGTCCAAGCCAACCAGCGACGTCTGCTGTCCTTTCCTGTATCCATGGACATCTCGGCTCATGCTGCTCACTAGTCCGTTGCCACCGGGTCGTCGGAAGCGCAACAAAACTGGACGCAGCGACTTGAGGCGGGAAACCACGCGAGCAAAATCTTCCTGACTCTGGACCAGAAAGCCATCCACTGCAATCAAGTCGTCGCCTACCGTAATCATCCCGCTAGCTTCCGCAGGGCCCATCAAGTCAGGCTCGGGTCGACGGAAGCTCGTCACGGAAACGGAGCCCAGGCGAACACTCATGTTCATGCACAGACCGATAGATCCCTTTTGAAGCAGGACCTCGTACTCGTCACCAGGGAATTGGTTCTTCCACCCATGTGCCCTTGTGTTTTCAGCCCCGATGGACGCACGCAGGACGTCAACAGCGAGGGCGCTGGCTTGGGCCGGCGTGGATGCATTCTTCGCGTACGCGCCCAAGCGACTCAGCTTTGCGCGATCCAGGCCGTACGTGTAGTCGTCCAACCGCTGAGGGATGAGCGATTTCGCCGGGAAGGGAGCTGGATTCAAGTTCGGGTCACCGCTTTCTTGCTGCTCGGGTTTAAAATCAGCGCAAGACATACAAAATCAGTAACTACATCAACAATACAATACAGCTAGCAGGTCAAACGTACGTTCAACGGACTTCTCGTGGTAGTGGCTCCTTGCTGTCCCATTTGTGGGCTCCAGTTCGTGTTGTTTTGTGTGTTCTGGCTGGTCATGGGGGCAGAGCTCGACTGGCTTTGCTCCATCATTGCAGGGCCAACAGGCGGGCCGTCCTGTGGAGTGGTGTAGAACGACGGCGCGTTGGTCTGGTGGTAGAACATTTGCGACTGCGACACGGTGTTGCTGCTAGTTGAGCTGTTGCTGGTCCCGGTCGCGTCGTTCTGCGCGTCTCCACTGGCATTGTCCGACGTATCTGCACTATTCGCGGCATCGCCGTCTTGCTGTGGCTTCATAGCACGCGGGTCTCCATCCAGCGGACGAATAGGCGTAGGCGACGGCGCCAGGAAGTTGGACGGGGCAAACGGGAATAGCATCTGGCGGTTGACGTTCTGCTGCCCTTCAGTATCGACACTAAGCGGCTTTACCTCGTCCTCAGCCGGTGGACTTTCCGTCGTAGGGTCCGCCTTAACGTCCTCCTGTAGGGGCTCGCCTATGTCTCCACTCAGCTGTTCAGTGTTCTGTGTGTCCTCCTCTTTCAGCTGTTGTCCACCTTCCTGTTTCTCGGTCTCCACAAGGTCAGCCGTTTCAGCGTCCGCTACACTCTCGGGACCCGTCTCAGCTGACGTCAATGACGTTGTCGGGTCTGTCTCTACCTTCTCCGTTACGGCGTCCGACGAAGAAGCTGCAATAAAAACGTCCTCTTTTTCGCCTTCAGAGTCTTTTTCGGCTTCATTGTCGCTTAAAGCATCCGTCTCCGTCTTCTGGGTCTCCTCAGGTGGCTCTTCCGCCGTCTCTGTCGCGTCCTTCACCTCTGTTTCTTCCGTCTCCTCCGTCTCTGGAGTCTCCTCGGTGGTCGAATTCTTCTCGTCGTCTTTCACGGGCTCTTGTTCTTCCGGAATCTTCCCCGTGTCCTTATTGAGCTGCTCCAAGGCCTCAGGCTCGGCCTGCGTGTCTTCCTGCGGCTCGTCTACAGCCTGTTGCAGCTCCTCCTCGCGCGGCGCGGGCTGCACGTCCTCCATTGCGGGTCTAAGCGGACTTTGGTTGCTGTGTCTCACTCGTGGGACGCCTACGGGCGTCGGGCACTTGCTCTTACGTGGAGACGCACCAGGATCTGGAGAGTGATTGCGCTCCTTTCCTTCGGCTTCTTCAGCTTCTCCGCATTTATGAGGCGGCTCGTGGCGGGTGGTGACGAAAAACCTCTTGCGTTTTGTAAGACGGCAACGGGGAGACTTTGGTTTTTGGCATGACGTGAAAAACCTCATTTTGGATCGAACAGGGACAATTCAAAGGCCAGCTCTGTCCACCAAAATGTCCCCAAAGTCATTATTGGACACCTCGGGGGTACGCTTGCACTTGTCGTCTACGCTGCTGTTGGCTATAAAATCAATGAAATACTTGTTGCATGCTTGACTTTACATCCATTGCGGCTTTCGTGAAGGCGAAGCTTGCAGATCCGATGCTAAATGAATGTCACGTTGACCAAGTCGGGTCGACTTCGGACAGCAGCTCGGTCAGCATGTGCATGACCGCCCCCTTTCTACCTCGCTGCGACGCTGGACTCCAGCCTGGAGGTGCATGTTTGAGGCTCTGTATCCATCAAATCGCGACATCGGACCAAAGACGAGGGCTCTGCGTAACGTTGAAGGGCACCAGCGGGATGGGAAGGGGCATGTTGTCTCGTTAATTCCTTTCTCCAAGCAGAAGCCGCAATCTTCACGATCACGCCCCATGCATGTGACGCGCGACTTTCGCACAAAATTGGCAGTTAGGTGCATGTAACATGTCGAAACGATCACGTGTCCAGAGACAAATGTTTGGGGGGATTGTGCATGTCGACGAACTCGGGCTGTACGCAGGTTACTATTTTACCTGATACGCATGTGCCACGAAGCAAAACTTTGGCCATGCTACGACGAAGCAAAATGTGTACAGAACGTTTAAGCTCAACAAGCGATAATGAAATGTGCATTATGCGTACAGGTGTACAGTGCATGTCAAATGATCTTGCAGGATAAAGCTGAGCTGGTTGCTAACCTCCTTTTTAATCAAAAACTACTGGACACCTGGAACGAGAAGGTTGGCGTTCGCATTGGCGTTCTCTCTGCGTCTCTTGGCTTCCACCCCTACACGAGTGAGCTTGGTGCTCTCCGTTTTGTTCTGGCCTCGGTGCTTCTGCTTATCCCAGCGCGACATCAAGAAATAATTGCGGCAGCCAGTGCCACCTTCCCAGTGATGCGTGGTTGTCTTCTTGGATGCGACGTCGTTGCCACAGGAGCACACTTTAATCGAGCTCGACTGCTCTTTCGAGCACAAGCCACAAATCATCCGAGTGGCAAGAATCCCCATGTTGGCTTTCGAGCAGGCACTCGAGTCGTGGCACACGTTGCACGGGAGTGCTTTACCACAGCATTGGAACCGAAACCAGCGCAGCGAGTGCCGGTAGTGGTTGCAAGCTCCATATCGAGGTAATGGTTGACCCAGGATGAAAGTCTCCTTGAATTTGGTGGGTCTTTGCTTGGCTTCCACTGGATCTTCACGCTCACGCTTCGTCTCTTCCAGTTGCCGAGCCAGGAATCGCTTCGCCATTACAGCGAGCTTGGTGTGGCATGAGAAGCAGACTTGTTCTGATCGCTGGCTTGGTGTAACCCCCTCCAACAGAGCTTCGCTTCCACATTCCAGGCAAGTGGCCAACATATCCGACGGCAATACATCGAAAATGGAGCAGCTCTCAGCTTCCACATAAGCCAAGATATTGCTCTGAGAATGGGCAAACACGGGTCTCATCAGGACATTTTGCCGCACGCGGCATCGCGGACACCAGCGTTGGGTCTTCGGCGAATCCAGGTTAAAAGTGGCGTCGAATGTAAGTGGGCAGCTGTCGCATTGGAGCTGGCAAACAAGTTGGTGCGCAACAAGTGTCTTGACCTCGTGGAGAAAGAAATCTTCGAGTCTGATCTGCGTGCCCGTCACCTCTGGCTCAGTCTCGACGGCGACACGCAGCTCTGGAGGAATGATCCTATTGTTGAGAGGCTCTTCCTCGCTATCACGAGACAGTGCCTCCTCTTCGGACGAAACTATGGTAGCGGGGTCCACTCCGCTCCGCACAAGTTCCCTTAGCAGCTTGAAGCGGTCGATACATTCGTTCAAGGACCGACCATCCACCTCATTGGCAATGCTGGTCCATCGCTCCGAAATGTCCATCGACGCAGGGTATTTCTTCAAGGCCAGATCGAGAGCACGCTGTTGTGCATCAGACCACGTACTCGTGCCTTCAGTCACTATATTCTCGGGTTCAGTCGGCGCACCCAGCACCACGACGACTGAGCGAGGATGGTCGGTCGTTTTAGCCCCGCCATTCTTCTCGTCGTGGGAGAACTTGCACTTATCTCCGTTGCGGCACTTGTTCCAGGCGAAATACTTGCATTTACGCGTCTTCTTCTTTTGTTCAGGTGTTGCTGTAGGTGTCGAAGCCACTCGAGCCTGCGTGGCCACTGACCCAGCGGCTTCTCCACACTTATCTTGCTTGGTCTTTTTCGCCTTCTTCTCATGCAGAAACTTGCACTTCTCTCCGTCTCGGCACTTTGCCCGCGCGAAGAAGTGACAGTGCTGCTGTCTATTCTTCCTCTTTGAGCTCTGTAAAGGTTGAAGATTCACAAAAGCGTATTGAGCCGCAACGGCCTCGTTGGTCGTCTCGCAGTGCCTATTGTTCTCTAGCGACATGGTGCTGGCAGTCAAGTTGCTGATCGTGTTGGTGCCAGGTATTGCGCTTTGCCAGGCAATTTGGAAATGACAACCTTTTGCCAAAGATTTCAAACCAAAGTGAACAATGTTGCGACCGGTCCGATCATTTCAGAATATTCGATTTGGTGATCGACGAATGAAAGTTTTTTTTATATTTTTTACGCAATGTTTCGTGCTCCTTCACTGTAGACAAGACAAGGATTCTGCACAAGTTGTGCAGCATCAAGAAAATAATCCAGTAAGTAATTTAGAGCACAGTCAAATCTCTTTATTGCCTCGGCGCCATATTTGCGAGTAATTTACGCGTTCGACGAGACACCGTCCTTGTACTGAGGCTTCAGCTCGTAACAGCTCTTGTTTGGGCCCTTACGGTGGTACACGCAAATCTCCTTTAGCACCTCCTTCAACAATGACTACGCGCAAAACAGCAGCCCAAAGTAAAAAATGTTAGCTACAGTAGAAGACAAGATCCACGAAGCGACCACAGCGGACGCACCTCGGGCTGACGGCAATGGTAATTGAGTTCCTTGAGCGGCCAGTACTCGCGCTCCTCGAAGTGGTGGAACACGAGGTTCTTCAGCTCATCCTGCAATAAACAAGTAATTAGTAGGAATACTCTGAATAAGCTTCCGGATTCCAGACTAATTCGTACCTTGCTCATCTTAATCTTCTTGTCCGACTTGTCCAGAAGCTTCGCGTCAGCATCATCCTGCGGCAAACAATTATCATGAATCAATGCAAAAACGGAGCAGAAGCATCCACCAACGCACTTCTTCGGCCTCCGGGTCAGGCTTCTCGATAGTGAACTGGATTCTAGCCTTCTTCACACGTGGCAGGTCTTCCAAGGGCTGCACAATTCTGTACATCCATCAATTCCTGTAATTAGCTCACGCACGAGTCCTCTTCACTGCAACATTCAATATCGTACCTTGTCTTGACCATCGACTTGATCAGACGTTGTTTGCACATCTTACTGTACTGGTCATTGCGCTGAGCCATAATTGTGCAGCTGTTCTTCACTGTGCCTTCAATGGCCATACGACCAGAGCCATCCAGCGAGAACACTTTCAGCTTCAGAGGTGTCTCACTGATCTCCACGCGGTACTCTGTCGGAATGTCGTCTTCTAGGGTGCTGGGGTTCACCGTCAGCATGCCCTATTGATACATAACTACCTGTAAGAATAGCTAGCAACCAGCAGCGTCTTCTATGCTTCTGTACCTTGCGACGACCCAAGACGCTCTTCTTCTCCAGCTTGATAGAGCCTAACATCAACTCACTCTCTGTATTACAAACATTCATAAGTTAGACACTAACATCCCTAGTTATTTGCGAGACAATAACCCTTCCAGAACCTTGTACATTCTTCCACGACGCGCCGAGAGCAGTCTGGTCACAATAGCCACAGTAAATCGTAAAGTTAAAGTCAGCAAACGAGCAAATACGGCATTTGAGGCTACGTATCGCAAGGCTAAAGACAACACAAGACAGATCCGTACCGGGATCTTGGCAAGGTACACCTCGCGGTCCTCCAGCTCGAGGTGTAGCGGCTCCACCTGTTCCTCGGGCTCTGCCATGTTGCAATCGGAAAATAAACTTCTAAGTCCGATTGTGTTAATTACTTTCGTAACCGATATGCATTTTAGTGGGATATGAACATGCATCAGATGTAAAAGTCAAGCTCGTTCATCATGTCTGCGTCGGTGCTGCTGCTCAAGGCAGCAGATGAAAAGTACAGGGCCGCTATAGAACAGGACCCAGAACCGGGATGTTCTCGACGGCTATTGGAGGCATACTTCACAGATGTGTTGACGTTCGAGTACCTCAATGCCGAGCTGCTACTTGACGTGTTGACTCACCTCGATCGATACTGCGGAATCATGATCACTAGCCCACGCAGCGCAATTGCTGTGTGTAACGTAGTCAACACGTTGGACGCGGAGCTGAAGCTGCAGATACTGGACAAACTGCGAGCTAAGCCTGTGTTCTCTGTGGGTGAAGCCACGTCACGTGAGCTGCTGCCGCTTGGAGTGGTGTGCAAGGGCGACGACGCCGGCTCGGCCGATTTGCTGTCTGCGTACTTACACCAAGACGGCATCTTACCTGCAGATTGCAAGGAGAAGCCAATGCTGTTTCTTTGTGGCGACAAACGCCGCGATGTTCTCCCCGACAGCTTCCGTTCGCGCGGTCTTCCGATGGAAGAGCTGGTGGTGTATCAAACATGCGCTGTGCAGACACTTGAGCTCCCTGCAGAGTGCATGGTGCCGAGCTGGATCGTATTCTTCAGTCCGAGCGGACTGAAAGTAATCAAGGAGCTAGCTTTGCCTTGGGAGTCTATTCGCAAGGCAGCGATCGGTTCGTACTGGTTAAGATATCTTAGATCAGGCGCGGTCACTGAGATTACCTTCTGCTTTGTTATTAGGAAAGACAACAGCTGCAGCCCTGCACGAGCACGCATTAGCTACAGGACAAACATTCTGGGAAGCAGACGTAACTGCGCCCAAGCCCAAGCCCGACTCTCTCGCCGGCGCCATCTTTGCCTTCGAAGAAGAATACAAGCAGTGACGGGGCAACACAACACCCATAAAACCTGCCACCATCTCTGAATAATAACATCAACGACGACCAACTCGATTTCATTGACTCAGGGCTCAACGCTCACTGTAGAGTTACCATTGTCGTCGTTAAAGCCGACCGTTTTCGGTGGATATTCTGTCCGCGTCTTCTCTGCTCTTCTTGCCCTTTTGACAGGTATTCATATTACCTCTCCATCTCTTGGGCGTACATTTACTCTTCGTCCTCTGTCTTGCGCGGCTGCATGGCGAGCTTCAGCGCCTGGAAAGGGAAATATAAACCATTCAATTCGACATGTCGTACATGGTAGAGAGGTGGCAGGCATACCTCCGCGCCTTCCCGTCGCGCGTTCCAGTCAGCAATAGGGCCAGTGATAATCTGCATGGTGGCCGCGACGATGCCGCCGGTGAGCAGGTAGCGGGCGATTCCGTTCATGCTTGGAGTTGGCTTCTGCGGCTGCGGAGCGCCAGGCGGAATCGCTACCGCGGATAGGGCAAAATTACCGGTTTAAAAACAGTACAGCAGAGCATGCCGGTACCGGTATCCGCCTCAGAAACGGGTATTTTGCTTTTGTTTGTTTGATATTAAAGTGTGTATATTATTAATACTCTTTAAGTTTAAAACACCAGAATGATGTTCACATAACGGAGGTATATTACGTGCTCCGATTGGCCAAACGGGGTGGCTATCAACAAATCAAAATCATCAATAAACTCACGTGCTAACACTAAATTGAAGTGCACATTCATTTTCGGAGCGCAGGGAGTACTGTACTGTAGTACTTTTCCTTCCTTTAGTATCTTGCGTAAATAGCTCGAATTTCTCGCTCAGACAATCTTTGTTGAAGAAGTTGAATGACGATTCCTTCTGACAGTTGCCACTCGCTTCCACCCTGCCCTGTATTTCATTGTTCCCAGTTCTTTTTAACCTTCTCAACAATATCTTCTCCTAGCTTTTCAAATACTCGTATGTACGCTGTCTCTTTCCTGTCGACTCGTTTTGCACGCTTTCGAGGCGGGACGGTTGAGCTTGTGCCGCCAGACGCCCAAAACGACATTTTCGGCAACCTCACCTGATCGAAACATACAATTGGTAAGAAAAACGCAAAACCGAGGTGAACGTTTTATATTACCGATTTATTACCGAAAGATAGATGCAAGTCCGACTCGAAAAGCCAAAGTGCAAGTCGGACTTTGGCTTTAATCCACTGAGTTGCGCAAGTCAAAGGAGCTCCCTTCCGCAATGCAAGTTGCATTGCAACCTGCGGCGGGCTGATTAGCTCCGCGAAGTCATTCTTGTTGACTCATCAATGTTGAGTAGATAAACGTATGTGCTTACCAGTCGAGCACGAGCTGCGCATCCGGGTCTAGCGGTCCCTGTGCACCCAGAACTGGAAGTGTTGAAGTAGGCGAAGATGATACCCGTGGGCGGAATGGATCGGCCACTTGATTGTCACCTTGAATACTTCCGCTGCGCCCTGTACTGACGCTCTCTGTTCCCGTGTAGCTCGAAAGAGACAGGAACGAGAGTTCGGGCTCGGACTCAAGGCCACTAGCTTCGATATGGTCGTCCACGCTCCAGTGTGCACTCCCGATGACGCTCTTAATGCAGAGCACGCAGAACAACCGACGTAGGGGCTTCTTGCGCTTGGCGTCCAATGCGAAGATACCCTTCTGCCGAGAACAGTCTCTACATACACTTTGATGACAACCAGCGCATGCCGAATAGCTTTTTAGTAGAGGTTGCTTGGAGCAGACATGGCACGCTTTGCTGCAGATGGAAAGGAAGACAAACAGGTCAACAGAAATCCGTACTGACGCCACCATCAAGCAAATCCACGCACCTTGTGGCTGGCCATCCGTGGCTTTCCGCTCTCTCCATTAGCGCGCTGAACTTTTTGGCGTGGCCACTCGTAGAGCTGTGGACGACGTTGAGCCACGTCGTAGCTACGCCGAAGTATATAACCTTGTCCGGGTATTTACCAAACTTATATATGGAGCCCCAAAGGAAGATCTCGGTTTTGTTGATATAGCGTCGTGGGCGATAGAGATAGCACGTTGCCGTGTGCTGACGCTGCATCCCTGGCATCGCTTCCATTGGCCACTCCGGGCGGCGTATCGACTGTAGAGTATGGTAGCCCCATTGTTCGCCATCGGCATCCACAGTCAGACCCATTCGCTCGTACGTCAAGACGTCTCGGTCTCGCATCAAACCCCAAACGGATCTCGCTGCAAGCCACTTGATACCAGCGAAGCGGAAAGGGTCCTTCATACTACGACGTTCACTGACATTCATGACGGCACCTCCAGCCAGCGGATACCCCAGTAGAACCTTGGCTGTCCGGAGATCCTCGGTCGTATCACAATATAGGCCGCTCAAAACGTCTTCGATGGAGCCGTCGATCAGACCCGTTCCGAGCATGAGTAGCACCGCCGGATCCGACGTACCGTTGACGCTGTGGTAGACGCTCATAGACTTGCGGCGACGCACGTATTCCCACTGCTTGGGGTTGATACGCTCCGGATCGAACTTGGAACGCTCGGCCATAGTCTCCATTAGAAAGATACGGGCCGATTGGTCATACTTGGCGCGCTCCTCGTCCGTGAGCGAGATCTGCGGGATACGGTCCTGGTACATGGTCGACATTGTCGAGCTCCGAGGTTACTACGAAAGTGAGGCAGGGCCAAGTCCACAGGATACCTCTCAGCTAGGTCTCCGACAGAATCTGTCTGCGCATAGTTGCATCGATGGCCAAAGTCCAGGACATCACACGTCACAGACGGTATGGCTGCTTTTCCATGCGCCGCTGTACTTGTAGACGTCAAGATACATTTGAGTTTAACACTGAGCAGCGTGGTCCCACCTCATCAATAAGATGTGCAGACTAAGGCAACGATACTGTATCAATGATCCATTTTTTTACATGTATATGGTAATGTAGCGCAACCATACCCGACCGTTTGATCCTTTCGAGGATTCTGCGGCGCAAGGCTCACCAGAACAGGATAACGGTGACATCAGCGCTGTGGCTTACACCCGTCGCGTCCCATGGCACGAGCTTCCTCGTTTAAGTCTCATTTCTCAATCTGTTTCATGTGCGGGACGTGGTTTTTTCAAAGATCGAAAGCATTCGACGTGACAAGTCCCCGCGGTCAAGATTCCCGACAGCAAGCAACCGAGGACTCTACTACCCGTCAACCAGCACTCAAGACGCCAACACCCAAGATGGCGTACCCCCAGACAATATCTGATGGTCGGACCTGTGTGAGTTGCTTTAGCCCTGCCGCGTCTCAGTCGATTCTCCATGCGGTACCGTGTGGCCATGTCTTCTGCGAGTCCTGCATCTTCAAGCGTTGCTCTCTTGCGCTAAAGGATCGCACTCTGATTCCAGCGCACTGCTGCGGTTTGGAGTTCCCAACCGAGTACGTCAAGGAGGCGCTAGGGTCAGTGAACTTCACGACGTACTCCCGGTTCCTGCACGACCGCCAATGGAAAGGCACCACGCTCCGCTCGGATGTCCAGTACGCTGCTATGGTCAAGCGAATCGGCGGGATGCAGTGCCCAAGATGCGGCGTCGGCGTCACGAAGATTTCCGGATGTGAGACCATGACGTGCCTCTGCGGCAACCAGTTCCTCTACTTGTACTGACATGGAGTTCGAGACATCAACTGTCTGGTACCATTGCGTTGGTTATCACTGTTGTGTGTGCAAGTCAAGCATGAAGGCGTTGAACGTTTGAGTTCTGATAATGACAAACCAGTTTTGACACGACGCCGCCCTCATAGAGTCTCGAACGCCTCATTCGCTCTTATACTTAACCTTTCTGCTCTGCAGGAAGTCGTCAACTATGAATAAAGAAACCATCGGTGGTGCTTTTGCAGCCGGGGATAGCGACGCAAAGCGACGATGATAGTGTGAGTTTGCGAAATTCATCCCGCGTTAAAAATGTAGCTACTGTACCACCGAAAGCATTTACCGGTACTGCGAAGAGGGGGGGGGGCTGAAATAGGCCGGGTAGTTGCAGCCAAGAAAATTTACGGATGATGCGGCTACCGGTATACGTGACTTTTGTTGTATCAAAATGATCTTGAAACGACGCGTCCCTACCTTTTTCCACTCGTCGTTTTATTTCCTAGTAGCAGACTTGAGCTATGGGCGGGGACGCCTTCGTCGTGGTGTTCTTTAAACCAGAGATCTCGACGGGCTTTTTCAAGTTCACTTCAAGTGCCAATGACAGTGAATCAGATGCTACCCCTTCTACAGAGCCCTCGTCTTCGATCCCTGGAGTCTCAGCAGTCGAGGCTGCATTCTTGTTACCGAATGGCCACATCATACCAACTGTTCTCAGTCGGATTAATGATAAAGGCTTTGAGACCATCCAGCGACGCATGCACCAGTTGACAAAAGCCGAAGCTCGACATCTCTTTACGTACGAGCAGCAGTATCGATTCAAAGACGACCCCGAATCGTTTGCGGCCTATTTGAACTCGATCACCAGTGGTCCGAGTCTCGCGTTGGTACTCAAGCTACCTGCAGCGTTGGCGTTGGGCGATGCCAACGCTGCAATCAAGAAATGGGTCGAATTGGCTGGAGATTGGGACCCCGTCGTTGCTCGCAAGAAGGCTCTCGCAGCTTCGACCCCTCACGATCAGTGGCCACTTCGAGCTCTTTGTGGACTCAATACCGTACAAAACGGCATCTCTAGCAGTCCACACGTGTGTTGTTCGCGACGAGAACGATACTTCCTGATGCCACCGCCAGTGCCACAACTTGAACGGGCAACAATAGTACTATTTCCCTCGTTTTACACAAATTTTCCCGATGCTAAAGAGACTCTTTTTTCGACCATCGGAAGGGAGGCGCAAGCAATTGTAGTCGAAAATTATGAGAGCTGTTCTCTTTCAGACGATCAAGTTATCGCTCTCTGTGGAGTCACCCTTACATCGGGGTCAGCTCAGACGTGTGAGAGTGTGGTGCAGCTCGCACGGGAGACTGCGGGTAGTAAAGGTGTCGATGTTATCGTCCTCGAAGGTCTCGACTTGACCTACACTCTGCGCTTCGCTGTGGGTCCTGCTAACGTGGAGCTTGCGAAGTTTTACTTCCCGGAGTCAGTCCGAGCTCGTGTGGTTTCTAAACTACCATCGGTAGAGCTCCCGCTCGAACTTCACCCCAACGAGACAGCAGACGACGATGCGTTGGGGTTCGAAAGTGGGTTATTCGTCTCTTTCGACCCGAAACTAAGCATCCGAAATACCACCGAACCGATTTTTGACAAGGGAACTCCAGTCGAGTCCACACTCGGTCTCATCAAGCCAAACGCTGCTTGTAAACCTGAGGTTGTTACTGAAATACTGCGTATGACCAACGTGTTTGGGTTTAAAGTGGAGCGTCAACGTCGGCTGCTGCTTTCTCGGGACCAAGCCGGCGCGTTTTACGCTGAACATCGTGGAAAAGTTTTCTTCAATACGCTGTTGGAATTTATGACAAGTGGGGAAATTGTAGTCTTGCATCTGGCACGTACACACGCCATTAAAGCCTGGCGAGGCCTCATGGGACCAATTAATAGCATGACGGCCCGTGAGACGCACCCGTGGACATTAAGAGCACGATTCGGTGTTGATGGTACTCGGAATGCCACACACGGCAGTGACTCCAGTACCAGTGCTGCCCGTGAACTCTGTTTCTTCTTCGGTAGTGCTGTAACTGCATCAACATCAACACAGACAGCCCCTTTGAAAGCACAAGCCGTGGCCCAGAGACCGATTGCAAGTTCTGGAATATCGGACACCAGCGTTGAGAAGATTTTGACTCTAGGATTGAAAGAACTCGTTGAGAAAAACCTGTCTGATCCTCTGGAAGCGTGTCGATGGCTGGGTGAGTGGCTTGTAAGCTATCGGTCTCGTGGACTTGAAGAGGGCTCCGAAATGTACAACACTTCAGACTCCGCTCGTAGACCAAAGGCAACTACCGTGAAGCGAGTTGTTGACGGAGAAAAGACTCTTAAAGCACATAAAGTAGTCGCGATTACTTTGGATACGTCGGTCAATTCGTTGCGCAATGCACTACTCGATACTTTTCGTAAGAAGCTGGAAAAAAATCGCTACGGGGTTGTCGATGTCGCGTCTGAATTGGAGAAACACACCGCACCGGATGTGGCTGTAGCTAATCTCGTGAAGACACTGACACGTTGTGGTCGACGTCGTTGTGTACTTTTCGGTTGTGAAGATTTCGCGAGTAACTCAGTTTTCCACAATGAATTCAAGACTCAAGCTCCTGCTGAGTGGCAAATTAACTTCATTGTTCGTTTGGATCTCGAAAACTCAGCTGGTGTCATCACACAAACTTCTCCTTTTTTTGAGGTACCAGTCCTCCACTTCAACATCCCTTCAAAGACACAAGAGATTGAGAAAGCTGGCGTTCTCCATGGCCTTTTTCAAGCCGTAATTGACCCCAACATCATCATTTTAGTAGATCCTGAAAAACTTTTTCCTGTTATTGTATGGACCCAAGTTGCAACTCAGTTCGGCTTCAACCTGGTTACGCTCGAAGATGTTATCACTTTACTGACGAACTCTAACATTAACTCGGACGATACTCGACTTCTACTCGAATTATTGCGCTCTGGATCCAAAGTTTCATCAACTCTAATTCTGACAGCCATCCGACGCGTAATTTTCGGGCTGCTGCCCGGATCCAATACTTTCGGACAAAAGTTCATGCTACTCGGCTTCCCGTGGCCAGATATCCAACTTGCAGAGCTGGAGCAGACAGTAGGAAGACCTCAAAGTTTGCTGTATATCGGACAGAAGAAACTCAGATTTAAAGCTACCGCGAGTTCCTTAGAACTTCCAGCGTGGGTGACAGTGTTCCGAAAGAAAGGCCTTGTAAGGCAGGTCTGGATTGACTCAACCGTTAGCGTTGATCGTGTCGCAGCTTACGCGGCACTACAGAACGTTGCACTTCCAGTGATCGGCTGCTATTTGGGCGAATGCGACGGTCTAGAACAGTTTGGATGCTTGCGGATTGCAGCCAGAACTCAAGGGTTTCTCTGGATCGATTGTGCTACTGTCACCCCATCCGTACAGAAGCTGCGAGAGTTGTTGCTGCGTGCTCAAGCGGGACGAGAGAAGTTCCTCTTGTACGGCTATCCACAGACTTCTGCACAGGCCGCAGAGTTCCTCAACCTTGTTGGTCGTCCGCGATTCGTGATTCACAACTCGTCGGCTTCGCCTGTCGCACCAGAACTTCTTGCAGCCTTCGACGCTCACCCAGATATCTCGCAGCTAGATCTGGCTAGCTCAAACGGTCCTTCCAAGCTGCGATCAATCTTTTTCAGCAAACAAGTGGTTGCACTAGTAGGCAGCGTTGACACGCTGCACTTGCCGCAGCTTCGTGACGTGGTGGCACCGCTTGGATACGACGTCATCGAGTTCAAACACGACCACGTTTTACACGACGAAGACGAGCAAATTCGTGGCTTGGAACGCCAAGTCCAAGCCGTACAAGCTCCACGCTGTTTGGTCATTGGAGCACCGGCGTCACCGAGTTTTTATCATGCTTTGGAAGCTCGTATCGGGTGTTCGATGCACCAGATCTTGATCTTACAGCACGTCAAAGTCCGCGTTCGAGATCCTGCGATGGACGACGAGGACTCGGCTGGTGATTCAGATGAAGAGCAGGGCCACGTTCTCATCAATGACAGTGGCAGCGATGGAGACGACACTGCGAAGCCCGCAATCAGATGGCGAAAGGTGTTTCAAGCGCTGAGTCCACAGCTCTCGCAGCTTGTTAAGAGTTTTGCATCGGCCTCCAAGTCGTCGATCTCCATCGACGTCGTCGGGTTCCTGGAAAACGCCCCACGCGGCTCGTCTCGAGTGGTTCAAGACGTCGTGGCGCGTCTTCGTCCGCGCTTTTTTGGCGTGGTTGGCCACCGCTTCTCGTTCTATCAAACGGTGGCACGGGGCTTCTGTCGACGACATCTAGCGGGATTTCTCGATCTTACTAACGTTTCCAGCAACAATGAAGCGCTGCAACAAGTAGCGACTCTCATACAGACCACGCCACATTCGAGCTACTGTCTCGATGGCTTTCCTCGCTCGTCACTTCCAGATGACTCCGTGTCCTCGACACCTCGTTACGTGGCCCAGCAGCTGTGGGAACTGGACCGTCGACTGGGCAAAATGAACATGCTGGTTCGTTTTACCGCGACGTTGGAGATGCTGGAGGAGCGAACACCGAAGCAAGTTACCCGTCGAATGCTCGACTTGGCTCAGGACGACCTGGAGCAAACGTCCGCAGACCTCGTGCGGTGGTTCACGACTGGCAAAAGTCATCAGACGATCACCGAGGTCACGTGCGACCGAACAGTCGAGAGCGCGCAGAAAGAGATGGACGATGTTCTGCAGTGGACTCTGCGTCCAAGTAGACCTTCCATTAATTAAAAAAGGCGGGCGTTAGGTTGTAGGCTGCCAAGATGATAGCGATGAGGATTGCTAGTGGTACAGTGTATTGTTTCCATGGACTCGAACGGTCCTTACTGCGACATCGTGTGGACATTTACGCCTCATATCATATCATCTTCATACAGTACTTCCTATCTACATGGTGTCTACGCCACGAACTTGTACTGTATCGGTTTAGCTCTGCTGTTGTTTAAGTGCTCGCTGTTGCTTGCCGTGCTTGATGCAAAAGCCGCCACTACGAGCTGCGTGAGTGCAGCCCTCGGTCGCACAACGCTTGCCACCTCCGTGTGAGTAGCAGATGCCTCCGGACTGAGCACTCTTAGTGCAGTTGGCCACCGCACAGCGACGGCCGCCGCCATGTGAGATGCAGAAGCCACCGCGGTGAGCACACTTGTGGCAGCCGGGCATCTTGCAGAAGTGACGTCCGCCGTGCTCCATGCAAAGACCTTTGCGTCGGGCGTCATTGACACACCCGTCACGACGGCACTTGGCTACTGGTTTGGAGCTGCCGGTGCTGCTGGTGGATGGGGTGGGGCTAGCTACGATGCGGGGCTTCTTGTTCAGCGTCGCCGATAGGAACACCGTATTATTAGTGAAGATAGGAGACCGTGCACTGTAGGTCACTGCTGTGGTAGTGTACATGGGGCTACCGGGCTGTACGGACGGATCGTAGCTTTGGTACGCCGATACGGACACCGACTGGCGGTCACGAGGACGCGTGGGCACCACTGTTCTCAATGCTGGCAGATACTGAGGCTGCGCGGCTGGAGACGGTAGCACGAGGCTTGGGAGCGGGTTGGTAGTCGGCTGGACGAACGGCGTCTGGTTCGGGGACGGGAATAGAGGAGCTGGTCGCCCGTGAATGTGGTCGTGGCAGTACCCCTGCATCTTCCCGAAGTTAGCGCAGCCCTGGTACTTGCAGTACTCGAGCTTGAGAGGGTTGAGAAGGCTGCTGGTACCGACGACCGGGAACCGGGAGGTGGTCGTGGTATTGGCAGGGCTGATGCTGCCGATGGACGGTAGTAATGGGATCGTAGCAATGGTCGACGCGGTGTTGGCTAGGTGGATGGCTGGGCTACCAGTGCTCATGAGCTGGCGCTTCATGTCGTCGGTCTCCTGCATAAAAGCCGGGTTGTCGAAGTCGGCGGTGTTCCGTGCCTGGGTCATCATCATCCATCGGTGGTCCATTGCTTGGTCGGGCACTGTTAACATGTACTTTTGCAATTTGTTTGGGTGGTAAGCTGATCTTTGTTTCTCAAACGCTGGGCCTTTTGTGCGTTCAAGTTCAAATTCGCAAATGGCAGTGCAGGTGTCCAGCCGGGCGGCGCGCGGAGGCAGTCGAGTTAACGTTAACCCTGGTCAGCCGGTGCGCGATCTGCAAGCTTTTGACTTTCCCTGCGAATTCGTCACAGCACCTTTGATCAGAGGATTGGATTGGAGCAGATTTTTCTGCAGTGTTCTGTCCTCGGCTGTTTTCTGCGGCAGTGTCACTCTGAGACTAACAAAACACTTACCCTTGGACTCAGGAAGTTACTGAGACTTAGGGCCAGCAGGGCAGGTGTGTGTGTGCAGCGCGTCAAATTTGTGGCGGGTTTACCTCGCCGAGACGAAACAGCAACTCGTTGTCAGGGTTTAAAGTCCATACACTTTCTTTGCCGTAGCGCTGATTTATGTTGGCGCAATGGAGACGCCACCCAACGCAGCGAGTTGGAGCGATAACGGCGGCCTTATTCTTATGAAAAAAGAGGTCGCGCCACATTGCCAGATCCTTCTTCAGTTGACTAGCGTAACAACTGCAATTTTTGCTTTAAAATATATATACGCTAAAGATCGCCTCGACAGTGGGACGGTGGCCATTATAACTGTCGTAGACTTGAGATTTGTATGCTACGCTGCATTTCGCAGTATTTTTGAAAGGATGCCAAGTTAGCTGGCGTACTTTGGACGGCGCCAGCCCAGAAGCTTCCACTCGGCGTTCCATTTCAAAGACCACCGTAGAGATTGGGGAGACCGCGTGGATGGCTGCAACAGAACTCGCTCGTTGAGTTGCGGGGGCAAACTGGAAGCCCAAACGAAGTCCCGCATTGCACGATCCAAAGCCTTGGTGGCCTATCCAGGTAATACGTGGTCGCCCAGTGCAATGCGGCGGGACTATCGCAGCCTCAACACCGGATAGATCGGCGGTATCAGACAAAGATGCTGGACTACTTTAGCCTCGAGGATATTAGACGCTTCAGTGGAGCCGCGCGCGGAGCGTTGGATTTTTGTAAGCAACAGCGGTGCCATTTCGTCTCGGTTTGGGGAAAATTAGCGAGACCTGTGGGGTGAGCCCCAAGCACAAGCGAAGTTGCGGCGGCAACAGGAAGTTCCTATCAGGAACCAGTTGCAGGGTTTCGCTCTCAAGATGTCAGCGACATGACACGAACGCTGATGCACACCATGTGGCACCCTGACACTTGTGGCTCTTGTTTTGCCATGCGGCGCGCTTGGCGAGATCCGGATGGGCTCTGTTAAATGTCCCTTGCCATTTCAGCGCCGTCCACCGGCTGGTGGTTGTCCTGTGTAGAGATGACTAGCGAAGTGCATCTCACATTGGAACGCACTGCTGATACCGATACAACGCGGTTAACCTTGGAGGGGGCGAAACGTGAGCGTACCAAGGCGAAGTCGAAATCGTGTGCACACTGCGCGGGTGGAGATCATGGATCAAGAATGGACAAATCTTGCTTCGCTTAGGATTCTGTCGATGAATTTATGGCCTAGAGGGATATGACATAGCGAAAGAGAGCTTGTCGGTCTAAAATGTTTCCAACGTTGAAGTGAACATGACATCCATCCTCAAGATCATTCACATTTAATCGGTAGCTCTAGCCTTCACGTTGACACTCCACAATCACCCGAAAGGGAAAAGCTGACTCGACGCTCTCCTCAGCTGGTGAGCTTCTTTGATCGGCTCATGCATTGCTTGATGCAACGCGACAGGCCGAGCGGACAAATACAGTATTCGGCGCCTGCAGCTGGTGGTTTGCAACTGGGCAAGTGTGGCTCAAGCGTTTCGAGCATCGAGCGTTCGGGTTGAACGTAGTCTTTCACATCGACTCGAGAGCTCTGAATGACCTACTTACATGTTAGTGCTACTGAGCTGTGCCTGTACATGTAAGCGCGAAGCGAATGATCTTGAAGCCATAAACGCTGGACCTGGATAGGCAGCGTCCGAGTCAGCTGCAATGAGTCCCAGTGGGACTTCCACAACATCGCAAATCGGGGCCATCCTGACTATCCAAGGCGAGGATATGCAATTTTCAAACACTCAATCGGCGTCGAACGGACGAATAAATACATGTACGGTGCTGTACTGTATGTCAGATCGCTTATTCGTCGCCGGCAACCGCCGAGTTACTCGGCGAGTAGGGGCTTCTCTTGCCTCGTGCTGCTTGCCTGGAAAGGCGAAGCACCATCCATTCTAGAGGAGGCAGACGAGAAAGTGTCAACACCCCGATAAATCGTGTCCGTTCCCGAATGTATGGCGTCGTGACGATGACTTGATGGCCTCTGCTGGCACTATGGCCACGTTACATGCAGCAAGGCCATGCTACATGTAGTACTGTACTGTACTGTAGAACGCATTTGTTGGACCAACCATGTTGGCCACGCGCAGCGATGAAAATGCCACGAAGACTTGCTCGTGCGGGTGCCACAAAAACAACTTCAAGTTGTCACTTACAAATCCCTTTATTATTTATCCGCCAATCAAATCCTGCTCAGCTGCCGCACAGTACTATTATACTACATGTAGTAGTAGCTGCGTAGCTAACAAAAATTGATCGGCTGCAAAAATACCGTTAATTCCGGTATTATACCGTTAGCTACAGCAATTTCCTATGTGCGGAACACTATTCTGGGTCCCAGCGCTTTAAGCTCTTGATCACGGCGATGCCACGCTCGAATTCTACCGGTAGCTCGAGACGCTGCCCCCACAGCACCACAAGAAGAATCATGAACCATCGCGGGGTTGAACAGTCTTGGTCTATCTATTAGAGTTGCCGGCAATCCCTTTCATTTATAAAAACATGAAATAGTGCACCATCCATATGGAAAAGTGCACCATCCATCTATTAATAATATTACCCCACCCTCCAAAATGTAGCATTTGAATGGGTGGCACCGTAGCACAGTTTTTACAATACTTTGAAGTATTGATTAATAAATGTTCTATCTTTTATTAATAAAATCTCCGATAATCTATTGGACGCCTTCCAAAAATATAGTAAGCACCTGACATATCTGCAGCAGATATGTCAGGTTTTATCGACCTCTATGTCGACTTATATGTTTTGTGCCCCACCACAAATCTAGTAAGAGGAGGAACCTAGGCCAGTGCAAAGTGTCCCCTCCGCAAGAAGGTACTTGAGTTTACTAGCAGTTTTATACATTGCGGCAATTTCTATTGGACTAAAAAAATTGTACTTGAAGCTCACCACTTCCCCTTTAGAGACTCTCGCCAACAAGATGCACGAGGAGGACGATGACGTTGACGTGCTGCTGTTATTGAGCGCCGCACACTCGTGGCGCGAAGCTAGTTTGGGTAGTGTCCGCCGTGAAGTGCACCAGCAGATGATGGAGAGCGCGTGGCGCGTTGCCATGCGTACACGTCACTACCTGACGGTGTCATGCTTGGATACACCCTGTGCGGCCGCGTGGATGGCCCTTTACCGGAACGGCCTCGACACGAACTTCATAAACGCTACAAGCCTCACGAGGTAGGTTTTATTGACGAGCGGATAATGTTCGCACTGTTCGTAACAACTGCTACTATATACTACGCAGAGCTGCCTTTAAACACCTACTTAAAAGATTCTCGCGCTTCTACCACCTTCCTTCGGCGAGAAGTAGAGGTCGGCCACCGAAGCTACGATATCACCAACAAGCCCTAGGACTTGTACTTTGCTTCTACGTGGGTTCAATGGAGAACGCGACTCTGTGCATGTTGTTCGGGGTTCCTCCCAGCACGTTGTCGCGCTCGCTACGTAAGGCCGAAGAAGCATTGTCGCGTGCCCTTCAGGACTTCTATCTAGCACGTATTTCATGGCCGTCGCCATCTCGACAGCGAGAGCTGGCGACGCTGGTCAATTCCCGCGAGCCGCTATTGAAACACACGTTCGGGTTCATAGACGGCAAGAACTTTCGTGTGGGTCTCTATACTGACTCTCTTTATTGCTACATGCCAATTAATATTCTTCTGTTGCTGTCTATATGTTTCAGGTGCAGCAACCATCTAATGCTGACCTACAAAATGCAATGTATAACGGATGGCTACACTCCGTGCTGGTGACCGGCACGATCTGCTTCGCCGCCGACGGGTGCATCATATGGTCCAAGCATAACTGCCCTGGGTCCTGGAACGATTCCGACACCTCTTTGGGATTTCGCATGAAGCTCCTGGATCCTACTTACTGTCCGGATGTGCGCATGAACGTCGTGTCAGATTCGGCGTTTCCCTGCTCCACGGCGATGACCGGGAGAATATTGACGCCGTTGAAGGACGGGGATCTCGAGAGGATTCAACCGTCGCTACGAAGCTCGGCGCGCACCCTGCACAACGCCATCACGTCGGTGAGACAGGCTGCTGAGTGGGGCATGGGCAGCGTGCAGAAGGTTTACAGTCGCTTGAACCTGCCGCTTCCCTACGACCAGAAGCTCCGTGGACTGCGACTAAACAACCTATTTCGGATGGCAAATTACCGAGTCCGCACGGTGGGCATTTCGGAAATCCGAACGACGTTTACAGGCGCGATGGAGATCTCCCTGTAACACGGGGTTGGGATTATGTATTTGAAGAACAGTGGCAAAGTTCCTTTGCATGAGTAGTTTCACTACGAGTTATATACAAGCGGAGATGACGGACAATTAGCATCGTGTTTGTGGGATTTTCGCTCTCTATCAAGGGCTATTCTCAATATGCAACGCTACGAAGTGGACTTCCTCCCTCTGTGGGCTGGTTTCTGGATAAGACTTCTAACGCTAGAAGCACTGACCGTATATCTTCTCACTCCTTCTTGAAGAGGGCACCAATGAAATACATGAGCTCTTGCGATCGAGCGCGGGCTTCCTCCCTATCGCGACGAGCTCGTTCTTCCATCTCCATCTTCTCTTGGCGGCGGCGTTCTTCAGCTTCAAGTTTCTCGGCGTGCCAGAGGGCCTCCCGTGCTGCGACTTCATTGCGTCGGCGCTGTTCTTCATCGGCACGACGAGCTTCACCTCTGCGTTCGCTGTCCTCTCGCATGAGGATCATCATCTCAACGATATTGCCCCCCACCGCGGAGGAATCTGTCTCCAGGTCACTGAGGCGTTTCTTCAATTGGTTGGCCGCTTTCGTAGCCTTAACTCTCTTCACTTTGGCGTAGCTGGCCTCCGAGAGGTCATCGTCGCCGTCAGCTCCGCGTTTGCGTCCACTGATGCTTCGAATTTCGGCTAGGTTGCCACCGCCGAGGCGGTTGGAAGACGTGTGGTATCGCTTCGAATACTCTGTGTCGTCAGCTCGGATCGAGGCGGTTTTCTCCACGCTGATGACGCTTGAGGTCGAAGCTTGCGGCACGTTCGGCTTCGGCAAACCGGTGGATCGGTCCTGTCGTTGCGAGGATCTGGTACAGACTGGGGACGGTCCCGAAGTGTTTGCAAACGCCTCTAGTCCTTCGCGCCCAGCAGCCGAATCCATCAGCTCGACCGACACTTCGCCTATGTTGGTGGCCGAGTGGAGGCTGGTTGCACTTACAGCGGAGGTGTTAACCATGTCGTCAACGCCTTCCAAGTCAAAGCTGAAGTCAGGCTGGTCGTCCTCTTCATCTTCGAATTGGCCGTCGACATCGGCACCGTCGTCCATTTCCGTCACCCCCGCCTTTTCATCAATGTTCTTCTTCAGCAGCTTCGCCTCCTTGATATGTGGAGGCATGTCCGCCACACCCGTTGGTTTGCGGGTACTGTAGAGCATCTTAAACTTTCACCGCAGACTCTCGTAATCACGCTCGGAGATGCTACGACCTCGGTTTGAGTTATAGGAGATTGCCAGACGTTCCCACTCATCTTTACCAAGTGGCAGGAACTTCTCGACGAGAGTTAGCAGTCGTTGCACTTCAGAAAGTTTGTAGTTTGTACTCCCTGTTAGTTTAGCCATCTACAAGTAAGAACACGAGCGAATCGATAGACAAAACGTTAGTAAAGCTGTAGCGGGAACACAGGAGAGGTTTTAACTATACCGGGGACGTTAAGAACGCTGAGGGCACTGAAGGACGAGGGCTACGTCGAGAACGGGGGTTGGACTTGCCCGAAGCTTGGCAAAACCAGTAATGAGAGCTCCGAATTCGCCTTGTCAGCGCCGCGCTTTTGCGCGGCGCCGGCGGCGCTCTTTGGCCTCTATCCACCAAAATCGAGCGTGAGTAGAAGCTACAAGATGATTTGGCGCCCAACCGAGTGCGCTAACGGAGACCGAAGCTTTTTCTTACCGTTGGTATCTCTTGGGGGCTCTTGTTTTGGCGCGAAACCCCGTTCTTCAGCTTCAACTTAGACTGTAAAGCTTCGAAATGAAGAGACGTACAACTTCACTTCAACACCAGCGTGGACTATCGAAGATGGATACATTCATTCACAGGATGTTAGTATGTAATCGCTTCTACTCATCACGCTCACATCTTGCTGGTACCCGCACGCACGCTACGGGTCCTGCTCTTTCTGGATCTCGCGGTGGCGGCAGGTCGCGAGGCCGCAACGACACACGAACCAGAGATCCGTCCCGTAGTCGACGGTGATTTCCTCTCCTTCCCGGATGTATTCCGTCGTGGCAACGACAACGGTGGTGCGACGGCCGTTCGACACCTCTACGAACTGCGCCACCGGCGCACAGGAGTGGTTAACGAAGCGCATTAGGCCGCCCATGCTCTCTGCGTTGATTGCGACACGGATCGGGTGGCTCGGCCTTTCCGGTCTCTGTGTCATAACAAGACGATAACCTTCGTTTCGAGGTCGGCCGCGGGGATTGACGCTCACATGCTCTAACTCGCCCAAATATTCGCCCAGCACTTCACCCGCTTCGATGTCTTCAGCCGCTACAACCGCCAACTGCCGTGTGCAAACATTCCGCGCCAAGAAAACCGAAGAGGACTCGCCCAAGGCGTTCCCACAATTGGCTTCGTAAGGACAGCAGCCTGGCGTGCAGAAAATCTGCATCAGTGAGTTCCTGCACGTACCCACACGGCACGGCAGCGCGCACTCACACCA